GCTTCCAACACCATATACTAGTGCTAGTGTGAGTGAAAACCTCAAAAAAGACTTATCTATATCCTAACAACACAAGGCAGGCAAGAAGGGCTATAGTAGCTACACGAAACCAAGTCATTCTTTCTAGAATACTTGTTGGCATGCGATACAAGACTGGAACCAAGGCCAAAGTCTAATTGAAGTTGATTGACTCAAATAGAATACGAGGTGAGTTTTCATGACCGAGCTGGCAGCTTGAGTCTATAGGCTACCTCCCATATCCGCTTCTCTACAAAGTTTGCTTTCTTATTTCTTTAGACATGGCCAAGCCTTTAAGTTGTTTAAGTTTGAGCTACGTCGTCCTTGTCACCTCTTGGAAAATAGGGAGATGGGCAAGCCTTCTCCTGTCGCAATAGTGTGGGGGTGTTAGAGGCTGTTGCCCCATGGCCAACTTGAAGGATCACAAGTTCTCAAAGTCTATGTTTGTTAATAAAGTCGAACACTCCCAAACTTTTTCTTATCAAACCCCCTTCTCATTCCCATATACATCCCTTACTAGATAGTTTTCATTAAGTATTCTTTGCAGTGTTTAGGCAGGTTAAGAGTGAATTAAGCGAATGCGTACAAATAAACAGACCAGAGCCTTACACACAGCTACAACTACTGGCGCTTCAAAAGACTTATTTTGTAAGGGCACTACCAAAAGCCTTTTTTTTTTAGGTCATGTAATAGGGAGGTGTAAGCCCCGAAAGCCTTAGGTACTTCATTAGGGTGAGCAACCCTTAAACAAAAAAAAAATAAAATTAGAACCCTTTCTCTATTTCTGCATTTCATTATCTAATTGGCCCACTTCAAACAAAATGAGAAAAAAGGTAGGTCAATAACATAGCTCTTTGTTTCTCGGTCTCTGTCCGAAGGAAAGACTTTCATATTCCTAATCTAGCAGGCCAGGATAGCATTGTTTGCCCTTAGCTTGGTGAATCACATACCTGCACAACGATATTATTGATGCACCCCCTTATTGTTCTCGCTTAGTGTTTGCAACTACTGGAAAGACGGTTATAGAAGTGAAGTCTGCATTGAATGCCCATTATTATAATCAAATAGGATGGGTCGAGGGAAGTGATGTAGATCGTAGTAAAGAAGAATTAGGAATGAGAAGGGATGAGAAAAGAAGAAAAAAAAGATAAAATAGAGAGAGAATTTGAGGAAGAATAATTCAATATCAATAATCAATAATAATCAAAAGTCTAATCTTCCAACAAATATGTATCCCCTATATATATATAAAGAGTTCACAAATCCTATTTATATAAGGAGATCACAAACTCTAAAATAAGTAAATAATCAAAATGACAACTAAACCCTTAAAAATTAAAAGAAAATACTTAAAAGATAAATACTAAATTACTCTCATGATTAATCTAAAATATTTATCAAATTCCTACACGATCTTCATCATTCTCCTCTGGTTGAGAAAAACTCTCCTCCGGAGAGTCTTTAAAGTAGAAGTACCCTACGAGAGCAGAACGAAGATGACAGAACTCTTCATCTAGAATGAAAGAACCATCAATATCTTTCCATCGATCAGAATAAATGCAAGAATCTCCATCTGTAGCAATGTAAATTTGGTCATGTAGCACATCATCTATATGCCCAGAAATACACGATGGAAGTGGAAATATAAGAATTGAAGCTAATGCTGAGGAAGAAACAATTCCACTTGTAGAAACACCTGATAACAAAATAAGAGGCTCTGGAGTATCTTAATTAAGTAGGATGTCCTCTAAATAAAAATTTGAACTAATATTAACATTCAATGAAAAATTAAGTAAATAAGCATTAAATTCATACTCAAAAATAGCAAAATAATTCCTATTAGATTTGAACAAAAGACATTTAGTGGGACATGACATCAATGACAAATGAGTAACTATAACACCTTGGTGTTAAAAATAAGAAAGTACAGACTCAATTGTACACTTAACGATAGGCAAAGAAATAAAGTTTACACTCTCAAGTGGGGCATAATTCAAAACAATGTCAACAATCTCATATGGAGAAGAATCCACAACAATATCATCATGATTCAGAATAGTAGACATAGAATAATTGCTAACAGATTCTAAAATAGATTGTTCAATATGTTCAATATCTTGCATAGGAACCAACTGAATGAATTTTTTTTCGAGTTCAATGATTAGTGATGATTCAATTTTTGGCTCCGATGAAGTAGGAAGCATGATAGGATCAAAAATAATCTCATTACTAGTGTCAATATTCAAACAATTGAAAGTATATTTTGAAGGATGGAAAAAATGAGGGTCCAACGGAACATAAATATGACTATCATTATGCGGGTGTCCGACATTAGGTGAAACTGGAGACTTGTCCTTATTTTCTTCCATTTGTTGACTTGTAAAAATTTTAGTCAAGTGGAAAAGTTGAGTTGGGAAGCATGATGTTGGTAACTGTTATGTGATTTAAGTGTCCCAAAATAGTATTCTAGATAATTTTCATAATAAAACTCAACTTACTATAGACTTTATGATGACTCCGAAAAACTCTAGGAGTGGAATAAGTATAGTGATGATATTACAGAGAACTGTGAACTTTAGACATTTTTGATGTTGAATAAGTAAATGAATAGGTATCATAATAATCATATAAACTCATAATTGACTTTGAAATATGAGAATAACATAAGAATGAGTTCAAGAATGAAATTAATAATTACGAGAAGTAAAAATACTTAAATAGAAAAAATATGTTTTGGACCTTTTGCAAATTCTCTAATTTTTCAATGAATAAAAAAATTAGTCTCAAATTCTATGGGAGTATGCATACCATAATCAAGAGAAAATTCTGAAACGTTTTGAGATGATTCTATAATTTTATGAATATGTTAGGGATGTTTCTATAATTCTGGAACTTCTAAGGGGAAGATTTTATAATTTTTTAAACTTCTAATGGTGGTTCTGTAACTTTTATGACTTTCTAGGGTGTTCTGTAATTTCTGAAACAATTGGGATGTTACCGTAATTTTTTGTATCTTTTGGGAGAAATACTTCTGTAATTTTTTAGAGTGTTTTTCTGTAATTTTTCTAGGGTATTTTGTTAAACACAAGAGGCAGTGATCAACAATAAAATCGATCATGAGTCAATGATGAACAGGATGCACGAAACAGCACGTGAACAATGATTTTGACGAACAGTTTTTTTTCAATGAACAGTGTTGATGTGATTTTTTTTTTTGAATCGAAGTTGGCTCTAATACCAAATTGATGTAGATCATAGTAAGGAAGAATTAGGGATGAGAAGGGAAGAAGAAAGAAATGAGAAAAGACAAAAAAGTGGATGAAAACATAGAGAAAATTTGAGGAAAAAAAATTTAATATCAATAATCAATAATAATCAAAAGTCTAATATCCCAACAAATATATATCCCCTATATATATAAGGAGTTCACAAATCATATATATATAAGGAGATCACAAATCTTAAAATAAATAAATAATAAAAATTACAACTAAATTCTTAAAAGTTAAAAGAAAATACTTAAAAGATAAATATTAAATTACTCTCATGATTAATCTAAAATATTTATTTAATTCGATCCCATCAAGCAGATTCAGCACAAAACCGCAATGGATCTGCGGCAAAGCTGATCCTCCAGAGGTATAACGGCTGGTGTTGTGTCGTCATTTCGGATTCCTGGCCAATTTCGGCAGTGATCACCCATATCTTGAATCAGCTAGTATATAATCGACACTGGGCCTAATTCATTCTCCAAATGAGTTGGGAACTAGAGCAACCCACGCGCTGGCTACTCAGTAGTTGTAGCTTTGTTGCACCGGCCATTGCTATTTCAGTTCCCGTTCAGTTCCTCCTATATTTATTGACTTTGATCAATTGTTAATTAAGTAGTAGTAAAGATATGTTCGCATCATGACCTGTTGTTCTGTATCAATGAATATAGAATATATCAGGTTCTCATTCGTTACAACTTGCTTCTCCACTCGACATGCCATGCTATTAGGATCAAAGGAAATTTCTTAGTCCTTTTTACCCAACAAGCACTTACTCCTATCAAGATGAAGCCAAAGATTGCCCAACCTAGTAATAAAGGGGGTGATCCTTTGTTTCTCTTTCATTCAAATCAAAGGAAGCTTCATCGGGAAGGGATAAGAATTATGCATTGGCTTGGTTAACAATTGACGAGCTTAGCTCTCGTCTTGTAGCTGTTAATAGCCGATCTGCCGATTGATAAACAATAATCATGAAATCTTTTGAACCTTCAATTCTTCTTGCCCCAGTTTCACTATCTCTTTCGGTGCCTTCAATTTCCCTTGAAATAGAGAGAAGTTTGTCTTTTTTTTTCAGTTATGCTAAAACGTGTGCTAACTTAAATCACCATAGAACGATTTCATATTGACTCCGCTGCAACATCAACTAAAGCTTTCTCCTTCCTACCAAAAACCAAAAAAAAAATATAACCTTATCCCTAAACTTTTGAATTTATTGTGTCTTTCCGTAGTTAGAGCAGGTGCAACTAGGCCGCTAGAAGAAATGCATCACGATAAAAGAGTTCATCTGCCACGTAAGATCGTCAAATCACGATAAAAGAGTTCATCTGCCACATAAGATCGTCAAATCTACCACGACCACCATCTGCAGACGTAATTTTGAATATGTCGTTACATCATGTACATATATTCAGTCTTCCATTTTTTTGATGTTCCTACCTCATGCCCAGATCGAGAATGGACATGACTCCCCCTCTCCCCGTTCTACCGTCCAAACAGGCCAGCCGTTCTAAGTTTTGGGGCTGGGTCGGATAGGATCAGATCCAATCCACTCTTAATGACTGAGAAAGAAGAACAGAAAAGAGGGAAGAAGGAGAGTAAGTAGTCACCACTAAAAAAATTACCAAGTGTTACCTCTCGACAGTGCAATTTTTGGTACGCATGCGACCGATGCATACATGACAAAACTCAACAACTATGATAGTTTTTTTTTTTTTCAGAAGATGCAACAACACTTCATTGAAGGTTAGGTTCATAGTACAGAAAAAACATCCTATTTACTAGCTAAAGAATGTCCGACGCAGTAATACTTTGATGTGGCTAACAGAAAAACAAGTCAACCCATACTCCAGAAAGCCAAAAATATTGCCAACAGAAAACACTTACTGTAAGTTAATACCCAAATCTTTTAGCAAAGTCCTCTGAAAAATTCTTCAAATCTCTCTCCGACATAAACATTAGAAAGATTACATTACATCTAAGAGCTCCATTAACATGGAGGTTGATCTCGACAGAGGGAGGAAGCCATGTGAAATGCCACCTGAAACCATTAGACCCATAATGAACTCATGCTGTTCCCCAAGTTTAAAGGACTCCCCAACTTCTTTCTCTGACCTCGGGACAGTAAATGAGCATTTTCAGTGAGCTGCAAATCTTCCCATATCTGGTTCTCCTCCGAGTAAAAACTCGACCATCAAGTATACACAGCACAAAACAACGGTATCACATATGACCAGCTGAAGCTCGAGGTTTCCCCTTCATAGAGTTCAGGTGTTGGGAGACAAATATTACTCCCATTACAATTATAAGACAACCTACCAGTGTGCTAAAGAAGAGGGCACCCGGTTGCCTTGTCTGAACAAAGCCATAGACACCATTAGAAGTCACAAGGATAAGGTCAATTAGCCCATCATTTGAGAAATCCTCACAGACCAAGGCATGTGTGGGAGGAGCTGGAAGATCTATGGATGCTAATATACTTCCTCCAGGAGATATCAGTAAAGCTTCTTGATCTCCACCCACAAGGATTAATTCTTGATTATCATGCACACGCAAGGTGAATGCCTTCAATGTGGGGACCACCATACCAGATTCCATCATTCCTGACGGAGACGGGAGGTTTGACCACGTCGCACCTGTCAATAGCTGCCATTGCCAGACAGCATCATGGCCATGCAAGCCAGGAGAGTATGAAGTTACCTGAGAGAGAGAGAGAGAGATCAACAACACCATGGGGGCACTTGCACCACCTTCCAAGATGTTAACTATTGACTACATTTAGCAAAACACAGATGACCCAATTTTATGGTGTACAACATTATACAGTGGAAAATTACAACAAAGAATCATGCTCCAGTTTTATGCTATTACGCAAACCCACTTTTATCAGGCTAAAAGTCCTTCACCAAAGATATATGTGTGCCTCAAATGATATGTATGATACTAGAAGTACTAATCAACTATACCTCCCCTCGATTTGTTAAGAACACAACATCTCCGTGGCTTCCCTTACGATGCCGATGACCATCACTTCTTGAGATGAGAATAGGGGTCGCCACCTCTAAAGTACTTGCATCTATAGTTCGACCAAAGCTTCTGGAAAAGTCTCCATGTTGGAATAAGTTAAAAGGGGAATGATGACATATAGATGCATTGAAAAGTTGTTCGCGTACTGCCACACCAGATGTTGCAACAGCCCAACATGGTCGAAGCACTTCCATAGATCCACTTACAACAGTCTGCTCAGCACCATTTCCCCCAACAACCTAGATAGATGAAAGGATATATATCTGTTACGTTGACCAACAACATATTTAGCCAAACTTATGCAAAATGATCGTTTTCATATTTCAGCTTTTGAGGGCAGCACTTCAATAAAGAACAAAAAAATTACTCGCAGAGGTTTTAACTGCCACTCAAAAAGTTTATTCCTTGTTTCACCGCTGTTCTGATCATCAAAATAAAGTTCTCCGTAATCAGCACTCTAAAGGCACAACGCAAGTCTATTTGATGAGATCCAAAATAAATACACTTGAAGCTAGTGGCTGTTCATTGTAAATCTTTGAAGAGATTATAATTATTTTGCATGTGTTTTGAGTTCTTTGAGAGAGACACACTGCAATATACAAATAGCTGCACAGTTTACCAATAATCATAGACGGCCCATGAAGGCCAACAGAAGTCAGAAGAGGCTGATAGCAAGGAAAATACTTTATTTGACCAGTATTTCGTCTGATTTTTTATTTGTATTCTTGTAATTAATTTATGCAAAAATAATTGAATATAGCATCACTATAGTCAAATAGCATATGACATTGCTGCTGAGGGAAGCCCATACTACCAAAGGATCAATGCCAAAAAATGACCAGCAGTGCCTTCTGAGAAACACTGAATGTCAAAACTGGTTGGTGCAGTTCTTACTATATTCGCTGGGCACAAAAATATCACTTTAAAATCAGACATATAATTAAAGGTCAGAAAGCGACAGTAGTGCACCTGGACATGATCAAGGACCCCATCTCCATTAATATCAGCATGGAGGCCACCCTCTTGAAGATGAAGCTGTTTAAATAAGATTTTTAGCAAAATATAAGAATGATAAAAAAAAACTCAATCAATAGCTTTGTGCTGTGAATGTGCAGTGCGGTCAGCTATATCAATCAAGGAAAAAATGTGACCAAGAACAACCACCACACTAATTTATGTAGTTTGGTAAATTCTAACTACATCCACAGGAGCGACTGTTTTTCACTTTTTGACAATCACAATAGGTTTATACTAGCACCAGTTGAGAAATCATATTCAATTGTTGTTCCAAATAATTATTTTCTTCTCTCTCCAGTTCTCTGACTCCAGCCTGCTAAGAGTCTTATATTGAGGTGAATGAAGATGAAACTCTCATGGCTACTTGCTGATGTGGGAATTGCAGGAAATGCTTTGAGCCACCCTTCTAAGAATGAGATATGCATGCAACATTGGAGTAAGGGGAGATTGATATCATAAGAAACTAGTAAAGGGCAATGATTTTGTTCCAATTAATTAGAAAAAAGGGTGAGAGCTCCAGAGACAAAGCCTAAAAATGCCTATAGCGTCTCTTATTTTGCATCCATTTCTCCAGGTCTTAGGACCTAATAAATCCATTTAAGTATCATATAGGCTATGAAGTATGGATACAAATACGAGAGACTAGTACAATACGATATGGATATGACGATACGACAAAACCTAAAAAAACATGATACGGGTATGGCTGGGACATGTTTATAATAAAATATATTTTATATTTTACCATTATTGAACAACTTAAAAATTACAATTTTTACCTTGAAAAAAGTGTAATATCGTCTTATTATGATATATCTATAAAGTGAATGTAACCAATTAAAGGAATTAGAACCAATATTTAACTAGTTGGTTTGGTTACAAGTATTTGTTTCAAAGGTTATAGTGTAACTAACTCATTTTTTTAAACTCTTTTGACATGTTATAGGAGTTAATAATTAAAAACACTTGCGTTTTCAAAGTAAAATTGAATTTTGCTGATGTTTTGTATCGTATATAAACTCGAAAGGAAATGTAAAAATTGTACATCTTGTTCCATATGTAGAAATATCCACGAATTATCCACATATTTTATTAATTATCGGATATATATGATGCGTATCCGATACTCCGATACAGGTATGTGACGAAGTATCTGTGCTTCACTGCATATAGGCAACATGAAATTTAACTTATATGCTTGCTTCACCATGTCCCTGCTAACTTTTCTTTAATTTATCCACTGAACTTTAATCATCACTCCATTTCACTCATCTAATTTAGAAGAGCTGGTTATTTTCTGATTGCAAGACACTTAACCAAAAATAAAACAATACAGAACCAAAAAAAAACTAGAAATTCTTCAGAAAAAAAATCTTTAACCACCAGCAATACCTAGCAACAGAATTTTCTCATGCTCAGTGTATTTACTCAGTCTCCATTGTAATTGCAAACAAAAAAAAGTAACCAACTCATAATGTCTGGATCACTGGTTACCTTACACAATGTGCGGCCAGATGCCAAATGAACAGCTTCAATACCTTCCTTTTGATGAGCCACAACAACATTAGGAACCCACCAGAGTTGAGTGTAATTTGTTATGGTAGGAATATAAGGCAATGGCTGAGGCAGCAAAGTTAAAAGATGTTATTCACAAGGAATTGTCAATAAAAACTGCCCATAAATCAAAAGTAATTGTAGATTTTGAAAATGAGAAGACCCGGTGCATTCCAAAATATGCAGCAAGTATTGAATAGCATTACAGTAATCTGTATCTTTCACCAATCGATAATTTACCATCTTGAACAGTTATATTCAATGAAGGTTCTTTAGATCCCTTGACTAATTCTACAACTTTGACAGGGTCCATGGATGAGTGAATGAGGCCTTGAAGGATGATAGTGCACTTCCCATTTTTTTAAAAGATTGGAAATCACAACTTCAGAATTGGCAGATTTAACAACCTCCAACCAGTGTATTGATGCAGTGGTTTAAGTTCCATTCCCAAAAGAAATATAAACTAGAATGAAACTATTTTAGTTAGGTTGAGAGATACGTCTTATCTAGCCCCATAATCTCACCTTTTTGGATTTAGCTGAGCCAGCATAATTTACAACTTTTCTGATAGCGTTTGATATTTTCTTCGTAGGGTCTTTTCCTGCGGGATGGTTTTCCTCGGGCTTGTGGAAGGGGTAATTGGTAGCTTTTCCAGGTAGTCTCTTTAGTGCCTTCCTTTTGTGCCGCCTGAAGTGCGCAAATTTCAACAGAGTGTCTTCCCGCCTATCCTGGTAAAGAAATATTTGTACCATGAATGACTATCATCAGCTTGTGAATACATGTTAAATCACAGAGAAAAAAAAATCAGTTTACAATATCACATTTACCCAATGATGCGGCATGATTCCAAGAATTGATTCTCTAAATTCCCTACATTCAAACTGGAGTTTCGAATGTTTCAGTGAGATTATGCTGAGAGATGACACTGAACTTGAATAGCAGTAAGATAAAACCAATAACGAACTTCATAAAACTTGAAGGAAGCACATAGATAAGCAGCACACAGAATGCAAACATAGAGTATATGTGCATGATAAGTGCACTACAAAAATTTGCACATACCTCTCCAGGATGACGACTGTTCAAAGCAAGAACATCAAGCTTGTAGTTATGTTGCGGAATCAATTGTGACGCATCTGAAGAATGTGCTTCAATATTCTACAATATCAGGACACTCAAATTAGTAAATAGAAGAAAGGGATATCAGCTTTATGTATCATACATAACATCATTTCTAAGATTCCAAACATAATCCAAGGAGTACTGCCTGAATTAACTGAGTTAAAATGTGCATACACTACCCCATCTAGAACATATTTGAGTATGAATTCTCTAAACAAAATGCAATAGGGGAAATATTCGAATGACCCCAAAAATTATGCATGCATTCATTAAGATCAATGAAGCACAACTACCCGCAGTCAGTAACGATATGGCCTTGTATTTTCTTTTGGTTAGTGTGACGCCGCAAGGTTCAAAGTATCGGCCAACACAGATGGTAGTCGACATAATTTAAGGCCGCAGCATCGGGCATCGACTCGGAGACTCCGAGACATCAATCACATCGCAGTATCGGGTGATACGATCTAAAAGAACAAGTTGAACATGACAAGAGGTTCAGGCTATATTGCGGCATTGTGTATTGGTTTTGGCCGGTTCGATGACAATAACTCGGCGACTTGGAATTGACTCGATGATGACTCGGCCGAGTCGTGCGAGATTCAGGGTTTATACGTAACATTATTAACTCGAAAGGTATCGAGCCAGATATGACTCAACTGTCTCATATCAGTATTAGCTGATACTTTGATCCTTGCGAGTCATCTGATTCGGTACCTTCCAAGTCGATACTATTACACGTTACGTATAATGTTTAGAGCCTTGCGAGTCGGCTGATTCAGTTCCTTCCGAGGTACATGCAGTGTCGTCATATAGCCCGAATCTCTTGTAATGTTCAATTTCTTCTTTTAAGTTCATATCACTTGATGTCGTGACCGCCCTCCAAGTTGACGGTCAATACCGCGACCTTGAACTATATGTGAGAGTGAGCATGTTGTTTTTGCTGTCGTGACATTTTGAAATATTAGTCTCTTTATATAAAACATAGTAAAAATAGAAAGAATCAATAAAGAGATGACCTGTCTATATATTAGCTGAATCTAGTAATGAGAATGTCAACATTTGATGCACTCAATATAACATACATGAATGGGTTAATTCCTAAGAATCGAAATAGACAAAATCTCCAACTGATACAATCATCAAATGATCATCGAAAATAGAACACTTTTTTCAAAGATTTTAAAGAAATTGCATATATTGAATTAATAAGTAAATCTTAACAAAAGGACTAACCTCATTCTTTCTACTCCATCGAAGCATGCCAGTTCGACCCGCAAAGGCATAAAAAGCAAAATGGCGTAAATCAACGGTTCCGGAATTTTCAGAAGCCTATATACATCACAAAATATCATGACTAATCAACTTCTCGGAATGTTGTTTTTATAAAACTTACCTACTTCAAAACAAAAGGATATATGTCATTTGCAATTTTACTTGATGGAGCGGCCATTTGGTCCTCCACGTATTGTTTCTAGAACTTTCAAGAAAAAAACCTTCAACCAACTATTCAATGTCTAATTTTTATAAATTGTTGGCATGCATGTTAAGAAACCTTTCTAATATGTCTATTCAGAAGGAACCCCTGCTTTAGAAATCCACAAAATTCCACACACTCATTTCAACTTATGGTTTAGCCTCTTTTTTAAATGTGAGATTCTAAACTTCCCAAAATCACCAAATCCACATTAGTTATCGTATGATTCTGTATTTCAACCTAAACCAAATCTTATCAACTACCCACACCCTTCCTCATTACGCTATGAGCTTGTGTGTGCGCACTCAAGTGTGAGCGAGAGAGTTCACCAGAGATAAAAATCAAAAGAGCTACCAAATAACAAGCGAAGAAAGAAGAACAGCGGTTCACCGGATAAAAAAGTTTGGCCTAACAGAATAATCGACAAAGAAGTGTCTAAGGTGTACCCCATCCTCTTGCCATAGTATTTCTTCCTGTTCACACACATATTTCATCATCCAGTCAATATGTAATACCTAAAATAGGATACTAACTATTTCCACCAAAAAAAACTATACTCAGAAAACCTGAGACATGAAACCACCAGCCATGAGATAACAGCCTGAGTGGTGAACTGCTGGCATGAATTCTGAAGGGAGGGATGGGATTTTGGTTTAATTTTTATTGTCCATAAAGGAAGGTAACAAGAAATACTCATTTTTTTAGTGCGTGATAGGTTTAGTCATTTTGATAAACAGCTGAAGGCAAAACACTATATAAAATGCAAAGTCCAGCTAATCTCAGTTGGGAGAAACCTGTAGGTTCTTCACTATTGATTTCATCACAAAACGAATGTTGAGACAGACGCCAACCATGACATCAGGGAGACAGCAATTACAGAGAGACCAAACCTTTTCAACGCCTCAAAACTATTTAACATGAGCCTAGAGAATCTAACAGTCATTTCTGTCGGCTAGGAAAAGCCCAGGTCATCAGCACATCCACATCAACAGCTGATATAATACATAGGCCAAAACACCAAGAACCAGCTTAAAATGTAATCGAGAAACAGGCAGAGGTTAAGTAACACATGCATAACTAGGGTGAAGCTGTGTCCATGTAGCCTGAAAGTGCACCCTGAATTCCAAATATTATGACATACAAGTACCAGAACAACAAAGATTCCCTAAATTCCAACTACTATGAACCACCACATTTCTTACTTCCTTTTCGTTAGCACTTCTTCTGTGCTGCTCGGCATCTCTCTCTATCATCTCAATTTCTTCAAAAGGATCTATGTGCATCTGAAACATAAAGAAAATATGATTCTGAGAGAACTGGGAGAATAGGGGCAAATATACAGACCTAATATTGTGCACATCATTAGACCATGTTAAATAACCAATTTGATTGTGGCAATTCAAGAAGCATAACAAACAAAATTGATCCGATTTCCACTGAGAGGCGGAAAAGCATGGGAAAGAGACAAATAAAAAAGCCCACATCCCTGGATGACCTTATTTCATCACCCTTATACAATAAAAATCAGATTTTATAGCCTACAGCTTCTTCTTTTTTCTGAAACAAAAAATCTTTGATCTTTATTTTTTTGTGGTTGGTAGTGCAGTGAGTAGTACATCACTATAAAAGACCAAAAAGCATGAGAAACATACATGGGGCTGCATTTCCATCCTTCCACCAACAATTACTAAACCTGTGTCCCCATGCTTTACAGTATAATTACTTACGGAGATGGCTATCTCCCTATGGTGAGCATGATGTGGGAAATCCTCCTGTCAAAAACCACCAATGATAGTTCAAAAAGAACTACTAAAGTCAAGTAAGCAAAAGAGCAATAAAAGTTTACCATGGAAACATAGATCATCCATAAGATGGGTTACAAAGCATTACTATTTCATCCCAAATGAAAAGAAAAAGTAGTTCAAATTGCACCGAGTTCGTACCTGCAAATTGGTCTCCCATAGCTTGTGGAGGTTGTGATCAAAACACATTACCGACCAATCTGATGTAACAACAACTAGGACCTGCTTCAAGGCTTGTCCAGGCTTATAAACTCGATCAATAACTCCTGTGGCCATGGCTACAGCACGTCTCCCAGATGCAATGCGAATCTTGTCAGGTAACAGGGAAACATCTGCAAGCACACGTGCTTCGCTGAATCCTTCGTCTACACGCCTTGCGTGAGGCTCCAAAACCTAGTAGTAATAGTTTTTTATGGTAAAAATAAGAGGAAGAATGGCACTATCAGCAACAAATTGAAAAGGACACAGATCATGTTGTTGTGACAGTAACACAAACTAAAACTAAGAATAATACTAGAATATGAGAACTAAATTGGGAGATTTCTCATTAAGTGGATAGCAGATAAAAATGGACCTCCATGCTTCGTGATAAAGGCATAGAGCTAACAATAGTGGTTAAAGGCCATCAAGTTAACATATATGTCACCTTTATGTAGATATGGGCAGGGCATTATGCAAAAGCATGTTTTATTAAATTTACATCAAGAACGTGGTACTGGTAGGTAACCATATATATTAATTTGCTAATGAGGCGAATGATAAATTACATGCTATTCTCGCCAGTGACACATCATAGGTTAAAATTTATCCGCAAAGAGACGTAAAAATCATCAACAATCATTAGTTTCAACCATCACAAAGGGAAATTACGTACAAATAAAACCGGAACAAGATATACAGCTAGTCTTGAACAACAACAAAAACTGCAGAGTTGGGGGGGGGGGGGGGGGGGGAAGCAAGAATAAGAATCTCCAACATGAGCTTGAATTTATGACCTGAATTTTGGCATCATGAGTGGCAACAAGAACCTCTTTTTTCCCATCACCATTAAGATCAGCCACGATTGGTGGGGGAAGACGCTCAGCCTCGTACTTGATTGGGTATTCATCAGAAAGATGGAACCACGCCTCTTTGAATGAAAAATCGCCTTGGTGCTGAAATTATACCAAAATCACAAAACAATCCAATCAGATCCGCAGTGCAAAACAAGCAGGTCATGTGAAAACAGAGGTATATACTGGGAAGTGAGGGAATTCAGATGAATTTAGAGATGGCTAGGGTTTATGGAGTGCAAAAACTGATTATAAAATAGAACCTGCAGAGAGAAGAAAATAGCGAAAGCGGCGAGCATCAAAATAGCTAAATCTCGCTTCCTCATCTTCGGTATTCTTCGCAGATCACTCTACTCACAGCACAGCATATACTAGTTTAGTAGTCTTGTTCTGGAGAGAGAGAGAGAGAGAGAGAGAGAGAGAGAGGAAACGCTCCGACGCCGGCTTAACACGCTGGGTGATAACCCGCTTCGGGGTCAAATATGATTGTTTTATTTATACTATTAAAAATAAGGAAAATTTTAACCACACCCCTTAAAATTTATTATATCTTCAAAGACACCTTTTTTATTTTTTAAATGTTCATTGACACTCTTATCGGATTAAATGTGTTAACTATAATATAATTTTATTAGATTGTCTATGATATATTTTAAGAAAAATTTTATTTACACCCCCTCTAAATAGGCATATTTTTAATAAAATCCCCTCTATTTTTTAATTTTTTTAACGTATTACAATTCAGATAGATTGATATTCTATTATAAATAATTAATATTTATTTTTTTACGTATTAAAATTTGAGTCGATTAAAAATTATATTTTTTTTACGTATTAAAATTTGAGTCAATTAAAATTCTATTTGAACAGATTAAAACTCTTTTTTAATCAGCTCGAATAAAATTTTAATCAACTCTCATTAAATTTTAATCGACTTAAATTTTGATACATAAAAAAATATAATTTTAATCAACTCAAATTTTAATACTTAAAAAATGAATATTAATCAATTTAAATCGAATTTTAATAAATAAAAAAATATAAATTTTAATCGACTCGAAACAAAATTTAATTGGTGCTAGCAACTCAGATAGAGCTTAAATCGACTTGAATTTCAATAGGTAAAAAAAGAATTTTAATAAGCTTGAATTTTAATACGTAAAATAAATAAAATTTAATCAGCTCAAATCGAATTTTAATCGGCTCAAATTTTAATATGTAAAAAAATAAATTTTAATGAGCTCGAATTTTAATATGTAAAAAAATAAATTTTAATCCAATTTTATGTAAAAAAAAATTGTTTGGAATTTATGTAAAAGAAATTTTGGTTTTTTAATTAATTTTTTTTTGGTTAAAAACAGTTGTTTAACGACAATGAATGTCAATGATATTTAAATATAAACTAGACGGGGTATGTAAATAATGTTTTAGATAATAGAATGAGTGTCTTTAAAAATATGATAAAGTAAAAGAGGTATAACTGAAATTTTTCCTTAAAAATATCATATTTTGATGGACGACTTCAAATTGTCTTCTAGACATGTTACTTGTGTATGAAAAGTTTTGTGTCGAATCTTAATGAATTTGTGTTATATCGAGTTTGTGTTATATATGAATCATGTATAGTCAATATACAAATAAATCGTGTAATTTATTTTTTTTAATTGATTTTACTCGTACTTGATTCATTTATCAATCGTGTCGTGTCGTATCGGATTCTCTAGTTTATTCTTTTCCTCTTTAACACTGAACATATATTAGTATAAGGTAGAGAACTATATATGTATATATATATTTCTAACAGGAAGTTTGGTTTTCAAAATTGACATATATATAATGCTCCGCTAGTCTGATTTTCACATTAGCACTCTTGAGCTGTACATACCTTAGATAACTTAAGTTAGATGTAAACCTTTTAATTTTGTGTCATATTAACGAGTCTGTGACATATTTTGACATCCTTAATTCCTTCATTTTTTTTTTAATTTATAAAATATTACAAAAAAAATTCTTTTTTTGTAACTTCTTAAATTAGATGAAAAAAAAAATGATGAATAAGATAAATTGGAAAAAAAAATGGAAGAAATTTTGAGTCCCATGTGATGGGACGCTAGGGGTTTTTTTTTTTTTTTACTTTATTAATAAATCATAAAATTCTCTAGTTCATTATTCAAAGGCACTCAAAATGGGGCTGAAAAAATGGTGCTAATAACCTCCAAAACCTTCTTTTCTAAAAGGATTACATTTACATTTATTTTGAACAATTAATTATCTACAACCACATTTAGTTGCATCATTTTTTAAAAGGAAAATCATTTTTTTTATGCAACCACCACTTATTTGAGTAGGTTGGACAATTTGTGTTAGGATTATTGGTGTCCATCATTAAGATGAAGAGAACCAGAACATAAATTTGTGCATGTTAGAGAATCCACACTATGTTTGTCTGAACCTTCTTTTATGTTATAAGGTTACAAATTTCTCTCCCCTCTCTATTCATGTATCTCTCTCTCTTAGTTTTTTCATTCAACTATATCTCTCTTTGCTCACTACCTTCCATTCTCTTTATTTTATCTCTTTTCTCCACCATGTATTACTGAGAGATTGTGTCAATCGTTGCCTTCAAAAAATAATCCATAGTTGTAAGTCCGATAGATTAATGATAATGATATTCTTTGCGCAACTCACATTGACAATATTTGTTGAATTTATCGATAATTACCATGTCAATTCATTTTTCTTTCTAAATCAAGACTCTCTCTCTCTCTCTCTCTGTATACATATATATGAGACAGACACAGTGTCATTGTAGTGTGAGAGACAATGACAACCACAGTGACAGAGTGTAATACAAAAAATTTATCTTATTTTTTGCATGTATTCTTCTGGAATAAACGTTTAAGTAATTGTTACTGTCCATGGCAATATTACTTGAGTATTTTCACTATCCCATGGTAGTGTCAGAGGCACGGATACTGCCACAGTAACAGTGAATATTTTGCTATCCCAAGACAGTTCAGTGGGCTTCATCACCGTTTCAAGATGATAACAGTGACATTGTCAATGTCCTACAACACCATATATAACATTGTTGTAACGAAATCCTTCCATGAATCTTCACAGGCTCACAAAATCAACGGAATCTAACTCGTGCTGTTTGTAGATCTCTAACCTTTTGCTAACAAATTTTTTTTCCACCTCAAAGAAAAGAGGAAGTTAGGAGTCAGAATTACTTTCAGTAGCAACGCTCGTAAAAAATAGAGTTTGATTATTGAATATCTGAAACCAATCATCTTGGGACAATATATGTGGTGAACCGAAAAACCCACCAAGAGCGTGTGCTAGCATTTCTAAGTTCTTCACACGCGCACGCACAAGCAACAACAAACCTAATGATATGTGTTATCACCAAGTGATGTGACACAGTATTCACCATCAAATAAATAGATCTCATTAATATTTAATGATAAAAATTATATCACATCTCTTATAAATGAAAATTTTGGTAAACATAACATTTCTGGTTTTTTTTTCCCGTTCCCTACCTTTACTTCTGGACAGAATGTCAAACCAAGTGATTAGCATTTGCTACATAACAATAAAGGGGAAAAAGCACTACCTATGTACAAATTCTTCCAAAAGAAAAAGAAAAACACAACCAAAGAAATCAGAATAAAACATTTGAGAACCAACCCTCCTGCCAAAAAAAAGAAAAAAAAAATTCTAGACAGTCAGGAAGGGTGTTATGATCATGCAGAAAGCTTTCATATTTTATTTTTTTATTGTTTTAAGTCAAGAATTTAGCATATCAAACCTTTTATGTTTGTTGCATCATAAGTTTTTGCTTTCTCCGATTTTCCAGGTGTGAAGAAAGTTGAGCACACTTTCTTTTGGTTTCCTCCAGCTCCTTCTCTAATTTCTCGACCTGTTCATTTCAGAAGTATAAAGAAGGCCATTAACATGACGACTTCACTCAAAAAGCAATCAAATCTGATACTTAAAAAGTCATGTAATCCAAGCATTCTTTAAACAGAATTCCAGTACCGTCTGTTTCAGATCGTTCTCTTTCTGCATATGTTCTTCACACCTGCATTAAATGATTTGAATGGATAAAATTCAGGGAACCAAATAAAAAGCACCATAAAGCCACATAGGTGGATGAATAAGGGATATGACGCAATTAGGCAAGGGGAAAGAGAAAACCATTAGAGGTCGAAACCAACACCCAATCACTCTTTTTAATTCCTAAGCTCATAGAGTGGGGGAGGTACCAATAAAGAAGGGCGTAGCAATATATTAATCTTTTTCAGAAAGTAGCAATTTACTAATCTACTTCTAACTGGTTCAAAAAAAAAAGAGAAATAGATAGGCATTAGTTAAATATGTTTGTCAATTATAATAGTTAGTGAGTGAAACACTATTCAAGTACTATGACCACATGCTATCTGTCAGATGGTCAGAGCATATAATATATATGTTATCGCTTCAAAGTTTAGAGAAAATAGAAATAGTGCCACTCAGAAGGATCATCAAACTCCAGAGGATGAAAACCTAGGCTTTTAGATAGTCACAATAGTCTTAATTCTCCCTCCTGTATATGGTTCTATGGAAAACATCGACCAATTCATCCTTGACAATAATTAACGAACTCACTTTTACTGACAGTCTCTGAAGCACGCTAGCTTGAATAGCCAGGAATTTACCTTAGAATGGCGGACTGAACACCAAACATTCATTACATGACAGAGGGGCCCCCCACAAATCAAGCATATTTGCGGCTTTACACTCATGTAGGTAACTTATGTATACACCTTGCAAGAGTTCTTTATTTGCAATTCCATTGCAACAGTTTGACATGAATGCTTGTTGAATCCAAGAAACTTAAAGTACTAAAAAACCTAAATACATCCGGCAATTTTCCCTTTTAAATTACTCAAGAATAAGAGTTTCAAATAGCATTGGCTTATAGTTAAGCAGCCTATACAGGCTGATATCTAATGATTAATTCACAGAGCAAAATTAATCATTACAGGTGTACACATATGCACAGTTTTTTCTGCGCTATATGGTTTTCAGTGCACACAGTCCAGCTTGTTTTCCATATATATATATATGGGTCCAGTCTTTAGTGAGTTAAGAGGATGCTTGTGTGATTCTGTTACCCATTCTTAAATATGGTCACCTTACTCCTTATTATCGTATTTGGCGCAAAATATATAAACATTCTAAAATTATGCTAAAATTCTCACTACATTTTCTCCTTTTGAGCACCCAAATAAACCTGGAGGGTGCAATTTGTAAAGCATATCTCTCAGTGTGTCAATTTATGAAATTTAATGAGTCGAAGAACTTGCTGTGTTCCTTTTCCCTTTTCCCTTTTCCCCCTTCCTTTTAGTGTTTTCCTCAGAACCTTGCAATATATTTGACAACCAAAAGGTCAAACAAACTCAAAAGGAACCTAAACTTTCTAGAGATGTTCAAGTGGTAGTTTATGTGAAATCAAAGAATGATTCCAGAATGCTAAGATTGAATAATAATTACCTCATAAATAGTTGGATATTCTCGTCACAAATTTGATCAATTGATGTAGACCTTGAACTACTTGCGCATGCTACTTCTTTGACAGACCGCTGCAAGGAGTGGCACAAAACCATCATAACATCTAGTGTCCTTTCAGATAATTGGCATATTTCATGCAACAAGATTCTAGTTAATAACATGAAGGGATACGAACAAAGACACATATTCCACACTACATAATAAACAGTTGCACAAAAAAAAATAATAAATTAAAAAACAACCCTTTTTGAGTGGGAAAAAAGAAATTTTTCTTTCAGTTTTAAATGTGATTTTCCCTTTCAAATTAGGAGCAGCTTCTATGCTGAGAGATGTGATTAACGTGCAATTTCATTTTGATAAGGAATAGAACCCCTGATTAAAACAACAAAATTACTGAAAAGAAAGAGAATTACACAATCTCATACTTGGATATACCCAACCCATCAAGGGTATATGTACGAATAAAGACTGCTAAAGCTAGAACTTTGTACCTCCAAACAAATGTTATTCAGGATATGAATCAAATCCGTAAAAACATTGCAGCACATAAAATATATAACGCATCATCACATACATCTATACTAGAAGCAAGCTTGGGCTATTTAACGGGACAACACAGCCTAGGCATTTTGATAGGAGAAGGCTCATAAGGGTATTCAACCCTGTCAACCGTTTACATTTGCACGTGTTAACCAACTCCATGTGCTTGCAATAGGCCATGTTAAAGCACCCAAAGGAAGTAATACAGCATAGATGTTATAAGAATATGGAAAATATTGAAAACTTACAGATGAAAGCCCAATGATTGGGTGAACCGCAGACAATTCATCACGATGACCAGTTCTGATGTGGTTTCCAGGTTGTGCTCCACTAAAATCCTGACTTACATTAGCAGTGAGACCAATAATTGGTTGGCCAGTGGGAAGCTGTCTCTGTATATTAGGCACAAGTTGAGCAGAAGGTACAGCACCCTCTTTTTGCATACTACGCACTGTGCTAGCCACAGGCTGGTGACCTATCAAGTGACAATGGCCTCTCCTGTGATGTCCATGCCAAATAATATAATGTCAAGACTTCATTTGAGATCAGCAACTGGTTGTCAAAACACAACAGAAAAATCCTTTATTTCTACCGAGAATGCCAAATTACACTCCACAACCATCTGGGATGTGTGCTAAGTGCTAACTTCCCTATACATATGTATACTCAAAAAGCTTCATAAACTTAACACTACAATCAGCGAGCAATGTCGAAGCAGAATGTTGACCCCATATATATTGTAGAGCAAGTCTGCAGAGTCGCAGACTTTTCCATGGCACTCCAAAGCATAAATCTAAATCCCAGAATGAAGCCAAAATAAAGATTGGAATTTGTCACGAATATGAGAGTAAAGTTTAGAAAAAATATCTCATGCCACTCGGTCAAACATATGAGAGAGAAATTTTCCAAGCGGCACCCAAACATCTTTTAAACTCATGCTTGCTCATCTATTTGAGCCAATTCAGGAAACAAACCATGTAAAAATAATATTCAGAGGAAACAAACCAGTATTCCATTGTCATTTGTTTCAGCTTCGTTTCCAGCCTCAAGAATAAAGATGATCTCTCAAAATCCTGCTTGTCATGTGCTGGTTCTATGAAATTTGCCTCAAGAACACCTGCAATAAATACCGTAAGGACTGGCTATAATTTGTGTAAAATGTAAGATAGTAAAAAAAACTGCACAAACATACCGACAACACCATGTCCCTTGGAATGACCATCACCAGTGACTTTCCAGAAGGGCTGAAATCATGTGACATAGAGAATTAGTAACATAAATTGTGGGTCACTAGCATGCCGCTGCATGAGTACATAGCACTGTCAAGGTGCAAAGAAAGTACAAAACACTCATGATACAAACTGATAGAACCAATGTAAAAATTCGTAATAAATTCCAGTTCTATCAAGAGTTTGCTTGGAATGAAAGGTTAGTATAAATAAGAATAGAAATCATCTAAAATAATTGAATGGAACTAAACCCACAACTCTAGTTTTAAAACTAAATAAAAAGTTTAAAGGCATGCCTATCAATAAATAAAGTCCACTTCTGACATGTTTGTGTATAGGTTAGTACACAAAATCATTTGAAGGCATGCAACATGTTTAACCTTCAATGGATTCATTCCACAACTTCAATTTAGCTCAGAAACCAGGACCGGGGATCTGAAGTCATGAAAAAGAAACCATAATAACTGCTATAAATTCTAAAAACGTTCCTCAAGTGTTTCCCTACATACCCGGATAAGGCGGTTTTTGTGGTACACATTGAATCCTGAAATTCCAAGAGCAGGTGCTTCTTTGATAAACCCAATGGTAGTTTCTGCACTAACCTAAACCAGAGGGAAAATTAATCTTTCACAAGTTAAAACAAAAATACAGCCAGAGTAAGCTATGATATAAATTTTGGTGCTTTGAAACACGTCTAAAAACGTCCATATATTTTGCTAAGTTCATTCAGATTTGGAAAGGGTAAAGGTTAGCCAGAAGAAATTTATGAAACATTTAGATTTTTAAACTTTTATAATGTTCCACAAATTCTTAAAATTTCATTCATTGATTCTGTACCTCTTTTGATGTCATAGCAAGCTGTGGCCTGTACACGATTACTTTTGGATATTTCAACTCATCTGCAATATTAAACTGCTTGACAGGTTTCCCTCTTAATATGATTTTGAAGTTCTTAAATTTTCCGAGGTATAAAATGGAAGCATATGCCTGCAAGGACATACATTAGTACTCTTTGCATTTTTAATCATATATAAATACAAAAAAAAATTAAATTCAGATAGTTACCCTTAATGAATAGCGGATGCGGTAGGATATATGGGACTGCAATTCAAGTACTCGCTTGTTTGTTTTGGACAAACTTCCGCGATTAGCTTCATCCCTCAACCTTATATCCTATGCAACAGGCAAAAATGGCAAAAGACTCTTTGAATATATAATCATTGACAAAAACATAGTCCGTCACATATTCAAATACCCCTCAGTTAGCAAATGACCAACTGATTATTAGCAAGTCAAACTGAGAATACTCCAATGCAAAATACAGTGCCCATGACCAAACCAAATGATATAAGAGGCAGTTCTTTCTATTTTTATGCACAATATAAAAGAGTCTTGCTATACCTCTAAGCTAACAAAAATAAAACAAGCCAATATGCATGCTTGGCATTGTTAAACATGGAAAAAACCATTTAAGCGCCTCACAATATGCATAAAGAGAAATTTTAGACTTTCTTGATTTGATCATCACACCAAATAAGGTGATTAACTTCCAACATTCCATGCTTGTTCTCATGGTGCATGGAGAGCCTTTACCTCTACGGCCGGCCTAGAATTATTCAGTGCACATGCATGTATGTGTCTTTTTCTCCTTTTGGTGTTTTGGAATTAGGTAAGTGAATAGAAACTGTTAGTCTAAAAGTCCTCTTAATGTATGTCGGCAGCCACAAAATATTCTTTGAAGGATCTTTATACAAACCACCTATAAATAAAAGGCATATTCTGCCTATGTGCAAGCAGAAATGACTCATGAATGGGGGGAAATGTGAAAGCTTATTAGTGTGGTCAGCTCAATGTCAAAGCTTTTGGACAAATGGCTGTACAAAATGAAGCTTTGGTTCTAGAAGGTTTCGTTTCAGGTCTTTCAGGTTGCATCTATAGATGTCTAGCAGTGCTTTTGCACTCTATTCTATCAGTATACTCGGTGAAAAAGTTAGCCGTATGATTCTTTGCCTCTCCACATGTGACTGAGGGTCGCACATGAGGTCACCAAAGATAGATATACATTTTTGGGAAGCTTAGGCCAATTCTCAAGTAGCTTAAGCTTTTTAAGTAAATGACTGATTAAAATGGTATCAAAGCTTTGGTTTTGAGAGGTCTTTTTTTGATAAGACACCACACTTTCATTTCATTGAAAGAAACATAATAAGTGTACATAAATAGTGGATAAGGAATCCACCTTAAAGAGCAAAATAAGGCAAATAAAACCAAACAAAATTAAGGAATACAAGCATCTTTCCAGTTGTGTTGGAAAGCTGAAAGCATATCTCAAAACTCTTTAGTAACAACAGCCCATAAAGATGCCATAAACTTCACTCTATCCCATAACAAACTCTTTGGTTTTGGGAGGTCTTGGGTTAAAGTCTTTCCATTTGCATTCTACTCCCGAGTCTGATTAGTGCAATTTTAACTTGTGTGGCCAAATCCTTAGAATTAGGATAGAATAGGCTTCGAGGACAATCCGTACCCTAACAAAGTGTATGAATCAAACTTCAGATGCATCCTTGCTTCACCTGGGGTCAAACTTAAAAGTTTAGTTCACTCAAACCTTGTACTCCAAAGCTACAGTCCACACTGAACATATTTGGTCATGGCCTATACATCCCTCTTACAAATAAAAGCTAAGGCTTGTAAACTTAAGAACTTGAATAAAAGTACAATTTCACTTTCAAACTCGCAATCCAATCCCATTTCCAATAAGTTTTCCGAGCTGCATAAAAATTGTGGCTCGGCACAGGTGGGTCAGTTGGAGCAAGACTGACTTGCAGCTTTATCGGAAGAAAAGCATGGACAAAGTTTTAGTGTTATGGTTTCCCTCAGCCACCACAATACACCATCCCTGCTTTACCTCAAGCCAGGATGTGAGTAAATGTCCCATTCAAACATTCACGCCAAACGCTTCAGTGCAAACAATTTTTTGATCAAGGCCACTACACCCCTCTAAATAAAAGCTAGCCTGTAAACGAAGACACGAATATAAACATACAATTTCCCTTTATCACGCGTGCAGACATATTGTTTCCTCTGTTCTCTGTTCAATATTGCAACTCTATTTCGTCCTCTTCCAACATGAGAGTGATGGACTCTTTGATAAGCAAAACGTACCAACCCCTAAAGAACTATTTAGGTCTACCATGTCCTTTTTATTCAATATCATTCGCATATCGCAATACTTTCAAATTGAGTAAAGAATATGCAAAAAATAGTTCATTTATTCCCCTTTTTTAGTTCTTTCCACACCACCCCATTGATATTTCCACTAGACTAAAATTCAACATTGAATGTTTACCTTGCATCCCATGTTTCAAGCAAATTCTGCTCTTCCTCTGAGCTTTAAATGTCATAGCATGCATTCCAGAGAAATTCAGTTTGAAAATCAATCTCACTTTCTCCTCACTTAAAAAATTTGTCAAGCTAATATAAGGTACACCTTACATCTATTGTGTTAACACAAAATCTCTTACTTATAATTCATAACAATCATACACAACAATAGGGCAACATCATGGCAAAGAACAAATAATTAGTTTTTATGGAACTTTATTAAATTGCTTTTAAGAATTAGACTTTCACTCATGCAATGAGAAAGTCATATCCTGAATTTCTAGGTCCAACATGTCTGACATGGACACACCAGCCTTCCTACAAGTATCTGCTTCTTTGCCTAAGATACATAAAAGATTGATAGCAGTCATTGATTAGAAAAATCTGAACAAAGAAAGAAACAGTTGGAGAAATCAAAAGAAAGTTTTCACCATATACCCTGCCTTCTGGGCCATTAAATGCAAACTTTGGCACATTCGGATGCAATGACATTATACATTCTGTATGACCATAACAAACTCAGCATGCCTCAAGATTTTTAGCCTATGCAAAGACATATCATTGACTACAGTTTAGAAAACTATATCAACTCTAGCATACCTCATCATCGTCGTCAAAATTTAACTCATAAATGCCTTCATCATTGAGCCATAGGTTGTATATTATAACTTTTGTTCCATGCGACCCAATGTCTTCAAACTAGAAAATATGAAACCAATCAGGTAGCATGAAAAGAAAACTGCAAGAAAAGTAGACAGCAACCTCACTTACTGGTTATCCACTGTGATACAAATAAATCATTCCAACCAAAAGCACAAACTAAATTTTGCTGGATGTTTAACATGCTGGCCTATCAGGAAATATAAATGATGTGCTTCAGAGAAGAAGGCCATTTCTTTGCATTTCTCAGTGTGTCATGTGACCATGTGCTAGTGAGAGTATTGATCATTTGTTCTGACATTGCCCTATTGCTTCATTCTTATGGTTAAAAACTATTTCAAGCAGTTGCTTTGAATTGGGTGATTCCTAGGACATTGTCAACAATGGTGATGGAGGATTTCGAGGGGTTAGGAAGACATAATAAAGTAATGACCATTTGGTATTGTGCTTTTCTTGCCATCATATGAATAATATAATTGGAAAGGAACTCTAGGATTTTTCAGAATAGAGGAGAATGAAAGGGAGGTTTATGGGATCGCATCTATTTTTTAGCATCATTGTAGGCGTATTCCGCTTTTTTGTATTTTAGCAGATTGGAAGGCCTCATGTGATACATAATTTGATTAGTTGAGATTTGTATTTTTCCACTTCATGGTTGGACATATTGTCCATCCATAATACTTTTTGATGTATCATTTTTTATCATTTTAAATCAATAAAGTTGTTTTGTTTTGTTTCCTATCATTGTAGGCGTATTCCGCTTTTTTGTATTTTAGCGGATTGGAAGGCCTCATGTGATACATAATTTGATTAGTTGAGATTTGTATTTTTCCACTTCATGGTTGGACATATTGTCCATCCATAATACTTTTTGATGTATCATTTTTTATAATTTTAAATCAATAAAGTTGTTTTGTTTCCTATCAAAAAAAAAAAGCTGCCAAGATAAGCAATGGAAACCAACTTCGCCAACTAGACAAGATAAATGATTAAATGGGACAAAAAATAGGAAGCAAAAATAAATCAACGTGCAAGTTTCACAATAAACAGGGAAAAAACTAACACATTGTAAGTTTGGCCGCCTCCTACAAAACAGAAAAGGATACAAGGAGAGTCTCTAAAAATTAAACATATAGCGGACTACAAGAATATATCTAGGCAATAACTGGTTTCACATGCAGGGATTAGATCCCATTATCTGGCCAATATATGTACTCTAATCATATATGTAATTTTTTATCAAGTTGATGAAAGCAGATCCGCACAAGGAACCAGCTCCCTCCAACAGTGAGGTTGATGCAATGGAGGTACATGTGGTGGTGTTGGAGAAAGAAGCAGTCACAAGGAGATGGCAGCAGCAGTAAAGGCTAAGGTGGTAGCATCAACTAGTGAAAGTTGGAGAGCAGATAGTCATAACAATGGTGGAAGTGGTTCAAAGGTTGAGGTCCTTGGCAGGTGGTAGCAGGCGGCAACAATGGTGGTCACAATGATTAACATCCATGACACTTAGGCTACAATGGCTGTGTTTAGGTTTGTGGCACCTGCAGTGTTAAGTGGTGGAGGTGGTAATGATGAGGGTGGGGCTAGAGATTAGCTTGGAACGGTGAACATGTGGTGGTGCTTGAGGAAGCAGAGGGTGACATAGGTAATGGAAGTGCATGCTAGGGGTGGTGCAGTGGCCAGTGGGAGGCCTGCCAGTGGCAGGTGCAGTGCAGTGAACACAGCAGCAGTGATGGAGGATATGATACTTTGGTATGATCCAGGCAGTAGTGATTTCCTCCCATGCCAGAAATTACACAAAATCATCTCTCAGATCATACCAACTTAAAATATTCAGGCACATAAGTAGCATAATCCTTTGTCCAATTTCCCATAGGGATTTGACAAGATCAGTTTTTTTCTCACTGAACATTAAAAATTTAGGGGGGCTGGAACCCACTTCTTGGTACGTTATTTGTTCCCTCGTGAAAACACACTAATTCCCAGATTTTGATGGGTTTACAACCACTTGCCTGATTTTAGGGGTTTCTCAAACAACCATCATTTATAAATATATCTTTTCCTGGGGAGCAACTCCATGTTTTAACGGGCAAGGCATAAATATATATTTTCCTGGGGAGCAACTCCATGGTTCACGGATTTTATGCTGCATTTTATTTTGATCACCAGCACATTTCACATTACATATTACAGGCGACACCCCAATCCAATCCGTCCTACTCACAAATAATGGAACACCCGAAAAATCAGGTGACATTGAAACCCACAAAGATGCCATGAATATCCCTGTCATCCTCAAATTTATGTTCAAATCCTCTAGCATTTCTTCCTAAAACCTTATAACCTAAAAGATTGCGTACACCAAGCATCTCCAAAGGTTATGTGCTTTCTTACTCCAGCACCCCAAAATCAATTCCAAGCATCGAATCACAAGAAAATAGAAAAGGTTTCTTCATAACTATAGGGCTGCAGGAAATGTAAAGAAAGATAACAGATAGTCCCCTCGATTCTCCTGCACATGATACACCACTGTGGAAGCAAAGAGTCCTTTGAAGCATATCGTTAGTATTATGTTTCTGATAGGCAACAATCCAAGAGAAAAATGAACTTTAAGAGGAACTCTCGTTTTCCAAATTATCTTACAGGACTAAAATGTTTTTTTGATGGGATTATAGGGACTAAAATGTAGTTCGACAGAATCATCAATCAATGTACCAAGGAAAGAGTTACAAGAAAAATCCCAGAAGAGTGAAATTCCAACTATAGGATTACAAAAGGACAGCACCATATAGGCAATTGGAACATTATGAAAGCAAGATAAAAACATAGAATCGACAAAATAAAGTTGAAAAAGGGTTGTCACTCCTCTACTTGACTTCCTAAAAACAAATATTTTCTCAATTTCAATATTAAATTTAGTATATCAAGAAATAACACAACCCCTACGTTACAAAAATTTCCATGGGGCTACATGCAGTACCCAGTCAACCACGTGAGAATCTCATCCATCATTCTGAATCTCATACTTTCTTTTGAAAGAAACATGCCACAAAGAATTTTTTTGATAGAGAAAGGACAATGTCAATAACAATAGAAAAGAACAAAAGCAGACACAAAGTCCTCCAAAGATACAAAACGAGAGTCTTAATTATCCCTCTATTAGCTCCCTTTGCACAGGGAATCAAACTGAATAAGTTATCTCCACAACTATTTCCCCATCCACGAATTTTTTTAGGAATTATGTTACACAAAACTAGCCCATTTATTCCTAGAACGAGAAAAATTTTCTCATTACACAAATAATCGTTTTTCCTTCCCTACTTCCCTCCCACAAAAAATCTCTCACACCAACCTTTCTATCCTATTTTCCAAATTTGATAGAATCTTAAAATAGACATATAGCATGTCAAAATTATTAGATAAAAGATATTGCACCAAAGCTATTCTTCAATTTTAGCTATAAAAGCTTTTTTCATCCATCATATCGTTTCCCAATTTTCCAAACCATCGGTTTCCAAAAACTCTCTGATCTAGAACTTCCAACAGAGAAAGACCTAGATTATCAAGAGAACAAGCAAGACCCCCACCAATCTTTCTAGCTTATCTTCGGATTATGGTTCTCTTATCCAGGTTAACCTTGAACCCTGAAATCAACTCAGATTTTCAGAATGGAATGCACATTAAGAATTTTCCTACTAAACTTCAGATAAAAACATACACATAAATTGTATTGTCAACAAACTTCAAAAGGACACTTAAACTCTATCCCTTCTTAATACAAAACCTTGAACAAGCTCAACATCCTTCGCTTTCTCTACCATTCTGCTGCATTCCTCACTTATAATTTTGATTTTTCTAAAAGTAGGTCAACATAGTTCATGGTTGGCAGTACAAAATTGTTCATCTCATTCTCCCTTTACCTACGGGAGTAAAAAGATCAGAAAGAATACAAGTTTATTCCAAATCTTCCACTGATAAATGATAGAACCCTAAGGTGCCAGAGATTTAAAACTTGGAAAAGAAATTTAATTATGAAATTAGAACTTTAAAGGGAGATTCTTCCATTTTAGGATCTCTTTGATTCTTTATGTTGTAAAGTTCAACCAATTTGATTGCTAGGTCACAGCATATTCTATAGATATTACAAATGCAATTGGTAGCAGTATTTTGGTATACTCATGAAGTCTGTGATGGGAAACTTAGAAGTTGCTTGCACAATGATCCCCCAACATCATAATTATACTTCAAAATCCAAAAAGGGCTCTTCAAACTTGCTTAATGGTGTAATAAAGACTTCTGAAAGTCTAATTCTTCATTTTTTTCAGAGTTGTGCTCTTCATAAGAAAAAGTTTAGTAAAAGAAATCTCTTCTCAAGTTGCAACAATATTTTTCATAACACTTAAGAATTAAGATTGTAGGATGTAAGACCAAGTTTCCACAAGCCTTCAAGGCTTTACTTTAAACCACATCAGCAGTAAAAACTAGAAAAATTCACCCGGTAATATGTTGCAATATAGATAATTAAGAAAACCTGTTGCATGAGGTCATCTTTTGAAGCAAAGGGAGACCATTCAAGGATGGTTTTCAAGTTAGCAGACCAATCATCCTGAGAGCTAAAAATTATTGGTTCAGCCCAATGGTCAGAGACATCGAAATCAACCTGCAACAAGATTAAAAAAACAAAAAATAAAAGTAAAGAAACAAACTCTGGATGTGAAAAAAAAAAAGATGATTAAATTGTAAGATTCAACAAAAAGAGTGACAAATTTACCATAGGAACAATCACATCATCCTGCCCTGTTCTCCGCAAAAAAGTATAGGATAAAAGGCCAACACTTTGCGTTGCTCGGCTAGAGTACAACAAGGCAAATAATGTCAAAAATATTAAGAATAAGCAAATGAGATCTCTTTGGACCAAAGGAAAATTCAAAATCCCCAAGCTAGTCAAAACAGAGCTCAGAAACTATACTTCTTATTAATCAAAAGTTTAAGCCTAACAACTGCAAAGAATTACAGATTCAAGAGAATGTAAACGCAAATATTGACCATCTAAACGGCCATAATAGTAACACACACTCAACGCTTGTCACACATAATAAAATGTATTTATTCAAATGCTGTCAGAGGGCATATAAGCCTGACGGTTACATATACCAACTAGAATCTAAAACTTTGGCCTTGATTTTACCGACACCTTCAACTAGTATACTTTCAGCTTTCCTTCTTATAGACATCTGGGGTTAGGATAAAACAAGCAAGATATGATCTTCAATACTTTTTAACAAATATAATTGCTATATTCCAGGATAGATTATACTAGTTGATTACTCTATAACAAACTCCAGTAATTACAAATTTGGACAGTAGTGTGAGCCCGGCCAAGTTTTCTGTGAACTTTCTTACGAAATGGATCAGCTCTAGATGGGCCCTTTTCAATTACGTAAAGGAACAAGTAAGTGATTTAAAGGTCAAAGTTTAGTGGGCTTCCAAATTTTTTGGATGGCTTGACCTAATTGCCAAATGTTTTAATTGTCTTCCAACTCTAGCTGGCTTCCAAACTTTTTTGCATGAGTTCACTTGGTTTTGAACTTTATTTTCCCTGGCTTCAACTTTAATTCGGTTGAGTTTCCTCAACCAATGGATAAATTGAGGGACGAAATGATCCTATGCAACCTATATCAAGCTATATAAATACATTGCATCGCTAATTAAAAAACCAGACTTCCTGAACTTTCTTTCTCATTTCATTCTCCATCCAAGTGATAAAAAGAAAAGTGAAAAAACATCAAAACAAATTTAATTAGTTTATGGTTCTCAGGCTATGAAACACGAACACTCTCAAGAAGGTGGCGTATCCATGTTGGACATCGACATTCCTCAGACACGTGTCCAATACTCGTTTATCCATGTCCATAATTAAATGATAAAATTTTAATTTCGGACACTTCTTTAAATCATGTCTACTACTAAACAATAAACATGCGTTAAAATGTGATTAACAAGCTAAAAAATTTGACTATTAAATATCTTATACTATGAGAGAACATATAATTACCAAGACTAGATATATTAAAATAGTACTCAAAATATAATAACAAAAATAAAGGATACATAAAAGATTTAGAAAAGAGTAATTGAGAAGAGAGCAATCATTTAAATTATATATGTATAGTACATATCTACAAAAAAATTGATAACTATTAATTATTATAATGTTAGTCTAAATATTCCAACTAAATGACTAGAGATTGCATTTACTTATCATAAAATACTGAATTGTTTATGAATAATGTATCATTATCACTATATTTGTGATAAATTATATAATTTTATATATAAAACAAAATTATTTATAACATGCCCTCAATATATCCGTGTCCTAATTTTTTAAGAAATGTCATGTCGTCGTGTCCGTATTGTATCGTGTCTGTGTCTGTGCTTCTTAATTCTCTGGAGATAATGCTTAAGAGTAAATACTATATTAGCATTCTCTCTTTTAACACAACTTTTGAGAAAATAAAACTTCAAATGCCACATTTTTATCTATGTCATAAATATGGCAGAGTAGGGTTAAAAAAGAAAGAAAAATTTTCCAGCGGAGTAAAGCAAAACAAAGCATGATCCAGCAGATTTATTTACCACCTACATCACTATAGGTCTATCACTAATTGTTGATATATCAACGGTGATGAATGACATACTATTATATTCATTGAAAGTTCATCAAAAGAAATACACTACAATGTAAATTGAAGAGAGACACTGTCATCATCTGCTCTTATATCAATTTGTTCGAACAAAAATATTTAGTGCAATATCTCTTCGTTTGATTGCTCTAAAATAAATAGAAAAGTTGAAATAATTTAGTCTTGTTGGAGTAACTTCACTAAAACTTTATTCACACTTTGTGTTTACAACTTTTAACATATGCTTCTTTGGGAAAACACTCAATACTTGTATTAATCCTCAGTCTCAAGGAGAAAACAAAAAAGATAATGGATGTCATGCCAAATGAAGATTACTAGTCGATCATTTTCATAACGTCTCACTTTATGCTCTCGCATGGACAAGTAGATGGTGTTTTACAATATAATCTGAATCCAACTTGAAGGAGGGAAGAAAGATAGAAACCATACCCGGCATGAGATGCGCGACTGAAAACAACAACATCAGCACCCAGACGCATCGTGCTTGTTTTGAATCCATTACCATCTGAAAATGCCATTGGATGTCAACAAGCACAGATGCATTACAAAGCTCCAGCAGTAAATATGAACGAATGGATCAATTTTTGACGAGAAATTCTTAAAGATTACACAGTTACAGCATATGAATATAAATATCTATCATCCACCATAATTAATAGTTGTTTTCACTGAAAACAAAAGAGGCATGCTCCACATGTTTATATCTGAATATTTGAACAATATTGCTAAAGATACAGCCTCCCTGTTTTACACATATATGCATGTGCATACACACACACACACACACTATACATGTGTATAAGCTGAGTGAGCATACTGTGAGTCGTAATAGACTTCCTATATTCCCTACCACATTGTTGCTAAGATGACTTGAGAGTGATTTTCCAGCCAAAACAAATTGTACAAATGAACTGTGAACTGTGCACTGTGCACACAATAGCAATATAGTTGCAGCAGTAGATCGTGAGATGTCCCTGTATTCAGGTAGTTGGATTACTATCAGAACAAGAAGTTACCAGCGATCACAGCATGCAAAATCCTCCATGTAAACTCAACATAGTTGATCCAACAAAGGAGTCACATAACATATCTTAAATCATTTCACATTTCATTTCTTTTGGTAGATCCTTTTCTCAATGATGTTCATAATTGCTAAAAAATCACACTTACATCACTTAGATTTTCAATCAATAAGAGAGATGCCGTCTAACATTTCAAATTTTTGCACTGACCCTCTCTGGTTCATTAATTCTTTCACAAAGCTCTCCTCTGTCACAGTCAACCACTGAACAGTGTACTAAAGCTTTGTTTCACAAATAACCTTCTGCCTTATTGAGATGCTGACAAAGACTAAGGCATACGCTTAGTCGTCTCCACAAAAAAGGTAATAAGCCAACAAGATAAATGAAGCTAAATAATAAGGATTTAATAATTTTCTGGCACTGAATTCGCAGCAAGGGGAGTTTTATGAAAGTGTTAGTGGACCCAAGGACAGCTCAGTGAATTCTGGAACTTTAGGAAGGTCTCTCTTATTATCCAAACTTATGGGGATTGAAAGAAGATTGGATAGAAAGAGGGTAGAAAGGTAAACTACATTTTTCAAGTACCCACAATCATAAGAGTTAATTCCGTGGAGTTGGTGCAAGGAGAGTATATCTTAATGTTAGTATTCTCGAGTCAAGACTATCCCAAATAGGGTATGTTGTATTATAAAGGTCATGTCAATTTGAAAATACAAGTAATTTTATGCAAGGTTCATTTGAAAAATAAGTTCATCAATGGATCACTATGGAATAAAGATAACTTCTGATAATATAATAAGTTTCTCAACAAGTAACAATATGATAATTTAAACAAAAAAAAAAATATATATATATATATATATGATAAGTGTAAGTGGCTGCTTATCCTCAAGAAAAATATTAGTTATAATTATTTCCAAGCTTATAGAAATAAAACTGGTACTAACAATAGCTAACAGAAACCTTATTTCTTTTTTTGTCAAACTGCATGTAGGTGTTGGAGTTAAAAAATTTCTATCAGACAAAGCTAAAGGTGGTAAGCAAAAAATTCACAATAGTTACATTGTCCAATTGTTGTGTTTGCCTTCTTTGTAGAGTAACCCAGGCTCATGCATTTCCGAATGCGTTCAGTATCCATTCCGCCCCCATCATCTGCAGAGGACATTCACTTGCCAATTTACCACCGCTAAAGAAACCTTATTCTAGAAACAATATATTGCAATTCCAATAGTGAAAATGAACATATAAGGACACCACACCTTGGAAAAGTAAGGCAGGAGAGTTATCTCTTGCATTATAAACTCTGTCAACTTTCACAAAAGTTGCACCATTACATATCTGGTATACAGGCAGAAAGTTAAGTGCATACAGACAAAATTAGCATAGGTGGTTTAAAACATTGCATTACAGACTTTACAGTCCACAACAACCAGGCAGTTACAAATGTAATGCAAAGAATTCATTGAGTGCTTTACATAGACAAACCAACCAAGTAAGAAGAGGAAGGGGGTAACGTCAAAACAATCCACATACAATATAGTGCAATAACTTTCCTCCTTACGCAGGTCTAATAGCCAAGGAGACACAGAAATCAGGACATATCACAACCATACCCCAGAACTAAACAAGCCATAATAAGGAAGTAAAATTCCAGACCTTTTAACACATGCATGCAGTAATACATCTACTCGGCCTCAGGCCCATTCATTTCAAGGGCGCGCTACTTCATTAGGATTTCATCTAAACAATTATAACTCCACTTCCTCCAAGGATCATTTATCCTTACCTTCAAAAGGATATGCATGCTATACTTGTGCAATAACTTTACCTTTTGACCAAGGTTGTCCAAATATAGATCGCATCACATTGTTTTTCAAAATCAGTGTATCGTGTATAGTAACGTATTGTGTATCGCAGGATACACTCACTTTTAAAGCATCTAATTATACACCTACAAAAATATAAAATTTTAGTGTCAATAAGAATGTAAAATATCCTCCTCCACCCCTCAAAACAATTCATCAAGTACTACATCCATTGCCTAGGGTCCATTCATTAGAATAGGGCAGCAGTCAATTATTATGATGTCATTTAACTAGCAATCTCAATACATATGTAACCCCAAAGGCAAAATATCTAGTCAAAAGAAAGAAAGTGGTCACCAAGACCAATGAGAACGAATCTAAACCTACATCGAACAATGAGTAAGAGGGGCAAGGTTTAAAACAAACCAAGACCTTTCAGGTCCATACTCTCCAATCTCACCCCCTTACCAGTTACCACACATGATCTTGTAAAGAAGTCACCCACACAAGAAACTTTTCTCTAAATTAAAAACTTATTATAGCAAGGCTTGTACTTTGTTGCATAGGAGAACCCATCAAAGGCTAAGGTTCCATCACTGCCTCGTCAGACATTCGTGAGATCTCTAACCACAACCCACAAAAAATGACAATGCATACAATACAACAAAATATGACTCCATACAACTCAATTTTTTATCTTCTAAAATAGTGAAAAACCTCATGCAACAAAATAAAAAAACAAAAGAAATCACATATAAACTCAATGAGAAACCATCATAACTCTAATGACTCAAACACAGAGCACTAACGTATCAGATCCTTTTCATCCCATGCAACCAAACTAAATGATCGTCCAAGAAATGATGTCCCTTATTCCTTAAAGAGTTTGATATACACTCTCTGGCCGGTTTCAATCCCCATATGATCTATGTGAGGTGGTCAAACCTTGGCTGAGCTCCAATTCAAGTGAAACCTAAGTTTCAACTATATATGAACTACTTCATCAAATCAAATATATATACCCAAGGGACTAGGAGAACACTTAGATGATGTTGCATAAGCCACCCTCTTTGCACATGTTCAACAAAGGAAAAAATCATTAAATACCATCTATCATCCCTAAAAGCCAACTAGACCCCATCAAGTAACCTTAGCCCAAGACCCCAAGAAATAACTTAAGGATCTTAAAAAAAACTTCTGAATGCAAGACTGCCAGCTTGTAGCAGTCATAAGCAAAGTTTTTTGGATGCATGTTGTAATTACAGTAGACTTCAACATATCACTAATCTTATCCAAACTTAAATTGATACAACATAGCCCTATTACTGAGGCCCTATTGAAGCTTGCCGTTGAGTAAGCTCCATATCAGTAAAATAGTTTGTACTTAAGCCACCACAACTTCTGAGCCACCATGCTGAAGGAAGAACCAAATAGCTCAATGTACAAAAGTGAGAGTCAAATTCCACACTACAAAACTCATTTAGCTGCGAACCAACTTCATAAGTTCCTCCCCAGCAACAGATGAATCCTCATTCCAAAAGATTGAAGAGCTACAGTTTGCAATTGCATGCATGGATTCTGCAGTTTCATCAATTTTAAGCAACATTATTTGACTCTATCCTCAGTAATAGATAAATACAATGAAGACTATACATACATTAAATCGTGGCCTCGACATGTGCTCAAGCAACATAAGCACTACTCAATCTGTTGTTTGGACTTTGGACCAAGCAATGTTATAGAACATTTCTCACACGGATGTAAAACTTGTAAAATTATGACTTCAACGTGATTATGAAAACTTAATTTACACATTACAGCATACATATTGTTACCTCATCCACAGCATTATCCAAGAGCTCGGCAATCGCTGCAACAATATGTGAATATAATATAGGTATTAAAGCCTGCAGAGTAAGTGCAATTAAAAGACATCTACATATAATTTATAGGAACTAGAGGAACCAAAGCTTAACAAACACAACAACATATATGGGCATATACTTCTCCATCATCTTCAGAAACTGTATTACTAAGACTTATAATTTATCTTCTTATGCTCTGTTACTAAATACCAAGAGTTCAAGAATCAAGCAGCCTAAAATTAGCTCACTCAAGATGCACAAACAACAAACTATCTTCATACAACATGCATTGCAAAAAGCCGTTGAAGGAAGAATTGTAAGCAGCAATGAGAGGCTACATCAGTTCGAGTGAATCAGTATTTACCCAACTTCTGTATTCAAAAAAGGCAACCAAGTCTATGCCCACATTCTGTAAAGTTCTCACTTTATGATCAGGATTCCCAAATCTTAACAAAATTGTCAACCTCTCCAACCAATCCAAAAAAGGAAATACATGCTTCTGTTTCCTCCGAACATCCACTGCATTTTGAGTCAGTTCAGAAAATTCATCCCAATGTCCAAATATACATTGAGCCCCAAGTTTCCCACCACTTATAATAACAATGCCACCTCAAAAGAAGTATGATGGAGGATATCAGACTTCTATGTAGCTTATGGAATTGACAACATATTATAGCTCGTAATTCACAGCTGGTAACATCATGTATTTGTGTAACGTTTTTTAACAAAAAAATAATTTCATCACAAAAAGCCAAACGAAAAAAAAGAATAGTTTAAAAATTATTTGGCAAAAGTGACAACCTATAGGCTCTACATTGTTACAGAAGACACATGATAAACATGCACATATAGAGTCAACTTCCTGAAATATTTTACTTTCTCTTCTTTTAATTGGACTAAAAGCACGCAAGTCGTGTCATTCTCTTACCTTCGACGATAAAGGCTTCATTCTTGATTTTCTCAAGACCCAAACAAAAAGCAGGAAAACAAACAAGATTGAGGTGATAAAAAAACTTACCTCCAAAGGCCCACTTATGGGAAGTCGCATTCGAATGCAGAAACTTCGGATGAACTCGGGCATGTTCCAATTGACCTATAAAATTTCGGCAACAAAAAAAGATCACGTTCAACTTGCATTTTTCAACACATCCAACCGAGAATGAGAGAACAAAGTTCCACCTTGGGAAGGAGCTGATTTGGTGGGACCAATTTCATAGGCTCCGGCTTTCCAGAAACTCCGTAACTCTAGCGTCTGATAGCTTGGTTCCGATGGAGGGATTGTCGTAGTTCTCTGAATATTCGGTAAACTCGGTAATGGAGGTTGGTTTGATGATGTGTTGTTTCGATTTGGGGCTCTAAATCCGTCTTCGTCGTCGCTACTGTCAATTTCGACGACATTGATCGTTGATTCTCTAGTTTAGGTGGCATTTACAGAGAGGATGAGAATCTGAATACGGGAATTTTATGGCTAATCGATAGCTAGGGTTTCGAATGGATGAGTACCTTTGTAGCTAGTATCGACTTGATTGGAGAGATTGATCTCCCTCTTCTTGTGAGTACTGAGTAGTCTGTAATGGCGGTTGAAGGCAAATTTTAAGTTGTGTTTGGTAACCTGGGAAATGGAACCACATCAAGTTGGGATGTGTTTGGTTCGGCGACAAGAGGATGAGATTGGTGTAAGTTTACCTTAGGACTCACTTATTCCGTGTTGGGATGATATATCTGCTGGATCCAGAATAAGTCCGAAATGCGCTTTTATTTCTGTATATTATTTTAAGGAAAATATTATTTAAATCTAAAAATCTGACATAATTTACTGACTTAATGACATGGTTTCATTAGAACCATTGGATAAACACCAAGTTCTAATGTTTGATGGAGCTCACAGTTAATCTAAAGGTCATAGTGAATTAAGTCAGCAAATTAGGTCCCAATAACATCGCTCTTATTTTAATTATAAAAACTTTTCGAAAATAATATGAAAACGAGAATGAAAATGTGTCAAAATATATTTTAAAATATGATAAAACAACAACGAAAATGTGTCAAAATACCTTTAAATATTAGAATTTCGATTCCATCAATAATTTATTTTAATCTTCTTAAAAATAAGAACGTAAAATTCTAATACCTCAATTAAGAATAAATAAAAATGTTATAGGGAATTAAAAATTGAAGACGTAAAATTCTAACGCCTCGATTATTTTTATTTTTTTTTTAATTTTTTTAAGATAGAGAGGTATTTAGTAAAACCCATCAATAATCGAGAATGCTTTTTTTCTTTGTTTTTTTTTTTTGTGGGGCGGGGGTGTTTAGTAGATTTTTCAGGCTCATGACATTAACTGTGCACACTATACTCAATGTCATTCTTTTGACGAGATTGGCCAGTCAATCAAACACCATAAAGAATAATATTATTTTTACCAAAAGAACAAAACTTTTTTTAGCACAAGATAACATAATTTTTGCCCCGCGGATAAACACTTTGCTCCATTGAATTGAGTTTTTCCATAAAGAATATACATGAATGACTTTTTTTTAATCAGATCAGACATGAAATTAGTCAAGGTGTGTCTAAATTGGTATAGACGTCCCTGACCGTTGAACTTAAAAAAAGAAAAATCCAATTCCATATATGTCAGAGTCATAGATAGATAATATAGCAAGTTGGCAACAAATACTAAAACAAGTTACCTAAAGAAAAAATCCAATTCCATATATGTCAGAGTCATAGATAGATAATATAGCAAGTTGGCAACAAATACTAAAACAAGTTACCTAAAAAGAAAGACATCATTAAAGTGGTGTCCTAAAAAATAAGTTTAGTTTCTGGACAATAGCTCTACTAAACAAAAAACAATAGGATTCCCAATTCCCGAACCAAAATTTCTAGCTACTCTCTTCATTCGGATACCAATATCTGTTATAGAACCATATTGAATCTGCAGTAACAGCGTTACTATCCTGGTTACGGTGCCAAGCGTAATAGGCATGAGTTCTGTTTTTAATCTCCAGAGTAGCATGCCCGAAACTTGCTTCGCGATAGGCCGAGTAACTTGGCTGTGGGTACGTAAAACTGCACAAAGAAAAATCTATAAGCATGATTTGGAACGGTGTAGAAGAAGAGATGAAGGTGTGTGTATGTTCTCTCACCTATCAGCAAGGCCTTCGCTATTTCCCCCATCACCGATTGTTAAGTAAACTGGAGCAGAAGGATCCTTAACAGGAGTGCTAAGCCCATTTGTTATATTGTATTTCACATTTGATATTCGTTCCTGCATCAGAAAAAAAAAAAAAAAAAAGTGATCCATTCAAAGTAGTTCTATGAGGGCTGATTAAATTTGGAGCATTCCTAAGATTGTTCCGCAATGAAGTTAGGTGTCACATTCAAGTCGTAAAAAATATCGAGCAATACTACAGAGTTAAAAAACTGACTTAAAGCAATGAAAGGGCAATATTCTGTATTGGGATGGAAGCTTACTGAACGCTCGTAGCAATGTACATGGCCGGCAAATACCAAATCAACTTTGTTCTCAACAAACCAAGGTTCAAACATGACTCTCATGCTTTCTCCTTCCATAAAATGGTGGTTGTTACTGTTATACCAGGGGGAGTGAACAAGAACAATCAGCCATGGAGTCTCGGCCCGGTTAACCTTGGGGAATTCTTGTTGAAGCCAAGTGTATTGGGGAGTATATTTACCTTTAAAACAAACAATGGAAAATCATTAGACCTCATTTTAATGCCCCTAAGACCCTCTTTAGATCTGCAGTAAAAATTATGGAGAATTTTCCTTACCATAGGCCGAGTAAGAAGATAACACAATGATATAAGCTGATGCACGCTTAACAGAATACCAAAGTGGAGATGTACTCTGGGATGCCCTGTAGGGTACATGGTACCGGTGCATATATGGCTTGAAAGGAGTGTACTCTTCCTGAAAATAGCACGAAACTATACAATAATTCAACTGTACATACATGTTACAGTACATGATTTACATCAGTAATTCTTATATCACGAACTTGTAGCTATTTCATCGTTTGCATCAATGTGACTTTGGTATAGACAACTACACTTACAATTTCAAATGCTTCTAAAAGCAATTAGTAGATAGCTATGCTATTCCGAAATTAGTTTTTGTGTGAAAACTTTTAACTATAGTCACTTGAGAAGAAAAGAAGAGATGAGCATAGATAATGGTGGGCGTAGAGAGGAAATGACAGATTAAAAGAAATTATTATAATCTAGCTAGTTATGTTATTTACATCAAGGTGCATTTGGTATAGTGTTTAGATTCAATCAGACAATTATACTGACCATTTCAACATCTCCTAAAAAGAATTCAGGAGCTAGCTATGCTGTTTTCAAATTAGTTTTAAGATGAACTTGAATTAAAATCATTTCATTGACAGAACCCGGATCATTGCCAAACTAGTCATCCGCGCTATGATCAGCCAATCGGATCAACAATACTAGTGTATTCGAAAAACGGTCTTATAGGGACACAAAAAAATGGGAATTTAGTTCGAAGTCTTACAATCTCAGGGACAAAATCAAGCTCATGGTTCCCGGCAGTCCAAATCCATGGCTGATACGCAGCACTCTTCTCAATGAAACGGCCCCATGAATCCCACCTCGTGTTATCATGGAATGGGTAATGATCTGCATATGAAAGATCACCTAAAAACAACACAGCTTGACCCTTTGGGTTCGATACATAATGGTCCAGAGTCGCTTTTGAGTCATAGGTTTGCCCCAAATCACCTATCCCCCATATAAAACATACAAAATCAGAATCCAGAAGGAATAACTGAAAGGATGTGAAAATCACTGTGATGCAGAGAATAGAAACTCACCCATGATGCCAAATGTATAGGGAACATCAGGTCCTACTTTAGGAGGGGTTGTGAAGGAGAAACGACGGATCGCGTTGTGTTTTCCAAGTTCATAAAAGTATTGTGTGTCGCACTGTATAATCAAAACCAAAATGGGTCATCATGCCCTCAGAAAATTAGATCAATTTGTGCCCGCAAATAAAGCTATTATAGAGCGTTCTAAACCTGTGCAAACTGTGATCAAAGTGAATAATATTGTATAATACGAGGGTTACATCATATGTAAGACTGGATCTTCGTTATGCCTGCTAATGGGTTACCAACTGGCATTGCTAACCTTTGTTTGCCTAGATCAACATTTTAAATTTTAAAAACTATCTTTATACAACTTAATAGATTGAATTGTAAAAACATACCTTCAAATTTTTTATGGTGGCATGGTGGATAAATCCCGAAGAATAATTATAGTATCGGTAAGACTTGGTTATAGAATGAGTCTTGTGCTTTTGATTGATCTTACCCTCTTCCCAATAGGTTACTACATTCGGGTGTCTCTCTAATGGTGTCACCCATGATATGATCGCACCCTCACCTACATGATCTCCTTGCGTTATGTGAACCTGCATGTTCACAAAAGAGATTGGCATCAAGGGTTCAAGGAAACCCACAGGAATTGAGACTATGCAACTATTTGAAGCTAAAATATGCAGCACCTCATACAATGACATTAAAACACATGCATATCACACATTCAAAACCTATCTAGGCTCTAGCAGTGCATGACCATAGTGTTTGAATGATACCTGCTCGGGGGCATTATACCCAGAAGGCGGAGGAAAAAGCTCGAGCGGCATGTCAATGGAGGCTTCCGACTTTCTCACATATTGACTTGTGGCACCTCCACTGCACAAACCAACACTGTGCAGCAGAAGAAAGAGAACCGTTATGAACCCCATTGCAGGGAGTTTGGAAGATTTCCGGAGCATGGTATTATAGTGCTTCGATGTGAAGATATGAAAAATGAAAACAACGTAGGACTATATAAGGAAGAGTGGAGATTAAGGATTTATAGGGGAATCGAATAAGGTGGTTGAGGTTGATTTGGAGTCCCAACAGATTTTGCTGATTATTGTGATAATTTTTTTTTTTTTTTGGCTATGAGGTTTGTTGTGATAAGTGATAACAGTTTAGTAGGAATATTCTACGTGGATAAAGTAAATTTGAACGAGAACTAAATACTCCAATTTCAGCAATCTTGACATAATTTGAAATTTTTTAATGATTTGATCATTAGATTGTAAGTGGGTTCTCGCATTAAATGTACTTCATTATCAATCTAATTGTCACAATAAATTAAGTTTCTAAATTAAATCTCAATAACATTATTGTTCCAATTTTGTCTAACTATAATTCTACGGTAAGTTGAAGGGTTATGGTATAAGTTTTGAGAAATGTTATATTGTCCAAACCAAAATCCAGATTTTTCATCTCAAATATATTTACACCCATTTATTTATTCTTTAGCAAATGAAAGCCAAAATTCCAATGTCTCAATTAAGAATAAATAAAAATGTTACCAGGAATTAAACGGGACCACTCCGATGATAATTTTAGTTTTTTTTTTTTAAGGTAGAGGAGTATTTATGTGAGTAATTCTACTTACGATGGTGAGTTCAAGGTTTATTTTAGGAAAACCCAGCAATAATCGAGGATGCTTTTTTTCTTCTTTTATTCCCTTTGGTTTTTTTTTTTTTTTGGGAGAGAAGCCTTTTTCAAGTTCATGGCATTCCCTGTGTACACTGATGATATACAAAATGACTTTGCACACCACCTGTCAACTGATTAAAAATAAATGCAGTAATTAAAGTAAAGAGGTGGAAAGAAAAGATGTATAGTGGTTCGGTTAACGTGACCTACATCTACTCTTGAATGACTTTGGTCGTTGGGGCGCTTTATTAGCTCAAGGGGTGTGGGGAGTAAAGAGTACAAGCTTTGAGAGAGAGGAGAGAGTCGTGATCAGGTAAAGTGCGATACCCCCAAGTGTTGGCGGGGCGTGCAATTTATTATAATCCCCTAACAGATTGAGGCTACTTTATAGTAACTAAACAAACAGATTGAGGCTACTTTATAGTAACTAAACAACTATTCTGGTGGAGTTCACAATTTTTTTTCAACGGGCGAGGAGATTAGGGAGCTCTCCATGAGATGCAGTCAAAGATAAGGTGAGGGTGGATCGTTTCTTTCTGTGGTGCAGGTAAAGCCCTCATGCTCTCCTTCTTGATGACGTAGTCAAGCAAAGAGTTTGACTGGTCTTGAACTATGTTGGACTTAGTAAATCTTATATGAAATTAAACTCCTCAATTGAGATTTAAATTTTTCACATAAATTGAACCATTTGGGTTTGACCCATCATACACTACACCTATCTAGTCTTTTGACCAGATTGACCAGTTTCATCATTAACGTGGTGTCCCCCAAAAGTAAGTTTAGTAGTTGGACAACAGCTCCACTAAACAAAAAACCAATAGGAATCTCAATTCCTAAACCAAATTTATAGCTGCTCTCTTCATTTGGATATCAATATCTATTATAGAATCAAATTGAATCTACAGCAACAGCGTCACTGTCCTAATTGCGGTGCCAAGAGTAATATGCATGAATTCTGTGCGTGCTGGATCTTGCACAATATAAAAACGAAAACAGGTCTCTCCCTTGGTGAACTCGAGTGAGTCGGTTGAGTGGTCAACCACGCTGCTTGGAACAGCCTGTGAGATCCGGTGGTAACTTAGAACGGTAATGGGAGACCCTCACGGATCAAAGGAACGATCCAGTAAGGCTGAAGAAAGGTTCCTGGAACAAAGAAGAACAAGTTAGAAGGGCGCCGGAGTGTTTTCCGGCGTATCCCCTCCGACAATCAAGTCAGTTTTTGAGAGAGAGGAAGAAAAAAACACTGAGTATAATTTGTAACAAAAATTTCACCTCCCATTCTTGGCTTTAGTGAGGAGTATTTATACCTCAAATACTCATGATTTGTTGTCAGTGTGGTCAGTAGGTGATCATTAGATACAGACAACGTGCGCACTGATTCCTATGAGGAATGTCTTCTCTCTTAACTGCTCGGGACCCCGAACAATCAAGTCTGTGTCATCGGCCTGCCGACGGTTCAATGAGCTCCTCTTGGGGAGGATGCAATAAATGTTCAGCCTTAGAGACATTTATTGTCTTTCACTTCTGAGCCTTACTGCATTGAATGCAGTCTCATCAAGGGAATGGTGTAATTAAATGTCTGTTCTCCCAAGTCGCGTGTCAGCAAGGTCATGCGGTCTTTCTGTCTCTGATGTGACACAGTAAGCCACGCGTCCATTCCTCATTGACTGTGGCCCCTACTTTCTTGTGCCATCTGATATTAATTGTATAAAACAAGGTCATGATAGCCAACTTAGCCTAGCCTAGGCTAGTGACCAGTGCATCAATAACCTCTGCTGGAGCAGAGAACTTCATCATTGATGAGAGGGGGGTACATCTCGGAACCGAGGAAGAGGTACATCTTGAATCTGAGAGGGGGAGGCCTAGCGACCGATGTACCATATCAGACCGAGAGTGCGTGTCGGTACATAACAACGTACTGGATGCCACTCGATCCATGATAAGTACCTCGGGGGTAGAGGGACTTCTGACCCGATGGGTACGTGATCTCGATAAACAAGGATCAGTAACACTGAGAACACGTGTCTTTATCTTGAAGTATTCCGGAAATGTCCCATCAAATTCTGTTCTAAATCTTGAGAGTAGCGTGCCCAAAGCTTTCCCCGTGGTAGGTCAAGTAACTTGGTTGTGGGTCTATAAAACTGCACAAAACAAAATTCAACTTTAAGCAGGCAAATGGGGATGGTGTATATGAGAGGATGAAGGTGTCTCACTTGTCAGCATTGCCTTTTATATTTCTTCCGTAGCCGATTGTTATGTAAACTGGAGCAGAAGCAGATACGAATTCAATTAAGTACAATACAAAAATATCGCTTATACAAACATGATTGTACACAATTATAAATATAACAGATATGAGTTCTTGAGCAAATAACTCAGTCTATAAGAAATAAATCTTCTGAAAAGACACACACAAAAAAAATAACAAGAGTGCTTTTTGGTAAAAAGCTTCCATGCACGCTACCTGCTCGGGGGCATTATAGCCAGAAGGCGGAGGGAAGTGCTCCATTGGCATGTCAATGGCGGGTTCAGCTTTCCTCACATGTTGACTTGTGAAGCACCTCCACTGCACAACTCAACAGTGTGAAGCAGAAGAAACAGAGGTGTTATGACCCCAATGCAGTAAGACCGGTGGGAGTTTTCCGGAGCATGGTATTAGAGATTTGATGGGAATTAAAGGAGGAAATGAACGTAGGCCTGGAACAAAGCCAGATAGATAGATTATTCGTTTGAGGCTTCAAAACTGGATTTTATTTTTTCCTTGTTTTCCGGGGAAAAACATTTTGTATATTGTAGTCTATGTTAAAAAAAAACCCAGACGACGGCAGATACTAAGAAAATTAAAGTTCCAAAAAAAATTAATAGATGATCTACGGACTTACTTAGCTTAGTCCCTGTCTGACTAGGCTAGTTGTCTTGATAGAAGACATTCCACTGTGAGTCGTTGTATATTCCTCGGAGTTCATCCTATTTAGTGATCAAGAAAAAAATAAGTGACTCTTTCTCGGTATAGTACTAAGACAAAATAGTTTGCTATTTCTTCTGCTATCTCTGACTTTTTATAGATATCATATCCTCTTAATGATCTTGAGGAAGAGTTGGGAGATTAAGATTTTATGAGTGATGATGAGGTCTTTGAGGCTTATATGGAGCCCCCCATGAGATTTAAGTGATTGTTGCGGAAAATTTGTTTTTCTTTTGGCGTTATTGGTGTGATTAGCATAGTCACATGATTTGACGACGTTTTCGTATTCTCTGGACAAATTCGCACTCTCATTTTATAAAATTTGTAAATTTAATCTTTTAATTTATAAATTCGATTAATTCTCGCTCTTACGCATTATCACTTAATTTTTTATTTGAAAAGTATTAACTCATGCCTAATGATACATATAAAATTATAATTATATTTATAAATAATAATTGTCATTTTAAGATCTTATAATCAACATATATTTAAAAATTAAATAGTTTATTCCATAATTATTCATGAAATTTTAATTTTTATATTTATTTTATTAATTTCTATGAGTAAAATATATATATATATATATATATATAGATACATATAATGTGGCTCTCAAAATGTTTTTATTCTTAATTTTATTTGAAATTTTACTATTTTTGTGCTTTCACTGTCACTCTTGCTCCGGCCCCGCTCTATCAGCTAGCTCATAAGTGCTAATAGTTTAATTTATGTTGGAAACTTGGTACTAGCACAAACCAAAGGAATATTCTATGTGGATGAGAAAAGAGTTTCTTTTTTTGAACGCCAGATAAGAGGGTTGGATGCTTCAGTTTTTCATAGCACTAATTCAATTAGTCAGAAAGTTTGAGGGGATAGCATATCCATTGGGCTAAAATTTATTAAATAAAAATAAGTGAAAAATAAAATTCATATGGGTCCAAGTTAAAAATACTTAGGGGACGGCTTTGACAAAATTCAACACAATCCAAATTATCTAACACGAAATTAATGAGTTTTAGTTTGATTTTAACGAATTTAAATAATAAACGATTTAACTCATTTAACCTGCACAATAAATGAGTTGTATTCGAGTGGAATACCTATATCATTTATTATCCGATTACTAGTTTAATAGGTGATTAAATTTATTGCAAGATTATAATTTTTAATTAAAAATCTTTTGTGTCGTAGAAATAATGGATAACTTGTTTAGTAAATGAACAATTTACAACTATTTAATAAACAAATTATATTGGTATAAAAAATTGTGACACCAATGAATACGTGGGACTGTCGTCACAAGTAAATATTGAGTGTAATGAATCTAATGATGACACCATTATATCATTAACACATAATTATCATTTGAAAATAAATAAGATAAATTTCACTTAAATAATTATTTAATAATAAAAAATTTATTTAAATTTTATTTAGGGATCTAATGATATATAATTATTAAATTAATTATGAATTTTATTACAATTAATTTAATAATTATATAACTAATTTAATAATTACATTAAAATCACATTAGCTCTTAAATAATATAACAGCATGTTATCTTTTCATTGTATTGTAGCCATAACGTTCCGTGGCTGTGTGGCGACACTTACAGTTGACTCACAGCAAGCCGTGATCTCTGGCTCCATGTTTGCTATTGCAATTTGGGAAACAACATACGAGAAACTGGTCAATTGATTAATCGATTCGACCACTCGGTTTCGCAAATCGGTCATCTCTTCATCTTCCGCCCAGTCAAAGGTACTCTCTCGTTCCATGAATTGCTTTTAGGAATCACGACAAACAGGGAAATGTGTTCAATTGGGATTTGGGGGGCTAGGGTTTTAATGTACCTGAATTCTTCATTTGTTCTTTTCTGTTGATCACTTTCCATTTCGTCATCAATTAGATTACCTCAGCTAATTAGAAATCCAAAAGAATTTAGGGTTCGACCAATATGTGTTTTCTTTCACGTATGGCAAAAGGTAGAGATGCTGATTATTCTTCCACAACGAATTTCTAGCGTTACTGTACTGAACGACTGATCATGGCCCATGGGTTTGTGTGCTTTTGATTTCTTCTCCTTTTTTTCTTTCTCCCGTGTCCCAAGTGTTTCTTTAGTGAGCTATCAACACAATTCATGATGAGTTAAACAATTCACAGGCATATTTGAATAGGTTGGAATGGAAATTGCAAAGAGAACAGTTATACTTCCAATTTCGAGTGTAGGGCTTTCATTTGTATGGGGTCTTGGTCCTTCAACTAAATATTTATTTCATCCCCACTGCAATTTTTGATTTTGTACACTTGTGTGGTGTAGTTTTAGCCTTTTAGGTTACATTTAGCTAATTGAGTTTGCTTTTAGAATTTTGGGCGTATAGCTTTGCGCAAGAGTTCTCTCTCTTGAAAAGGATATAATCATTTCAGTTGTTTGACAACCACTTCAAGACTCGTATTGTTGTATGTCATTTGGCTCAAGTTCAATGCTTGTGTCATTTTGCATATGCAAACAAAGGTTGCGGTTGAGGATATCTTCATTTGGGTAAGTCACAAATAATGAATGCAAGGTCTAGGATATAAGATTTGTATCAACATCTGGTGGCCTTTGTATTGTTGGCTGGATGTTGAAGGCCAAAATACAAAAATAAATGCAAAACTAATACACAAAATATTTAAGGTTTCTATATCCTAATTCACCTAGAGAGTAATTAGATGCACATTTGAGTATTTCATTACAGTAACTCAAATTAGCTGGAAAAATTGAATTAATTGATTACAATGCCGGTCCATTTGTTGTTGTTTACTTATCCATCTTGAGGATTTGATTTGGTGCACAACTGCATTTTGTTATCTTCTGCCATATACTTAGATCTATTGTGATAAATATAGTTGTGAGTGTGCCACAGCCACTCAAATAATATCACATTTATTGTGATACGGTAATACCTAATCATAGAGTCAAATGTGGATTGAGGACATCATATGGTTACCTTGCTGAAACCATTTGGTTATGCTTGGCAAAAGAATATGAAATGAAGGGTCGCCCAGTGTGATTATTTTATATGTATGTTTATGCCCTTGGATATGCATTTGGAAAATGCAAATAATAAATGGCTAGATACATATACATAGTTAGCTGTTCCCATTTTTTAACCATCTTATGCATTGATGTGATCAGACTTATTGCAGTTTTGGCAATGGAACAAAATGCTGATCCTGAGCATCGCTTGATGGTTGAACGAAGCATTCCACAAACCATGCAAATTGATCCTAGAAGAGACCGGTTTCCATGCTGCATTGTGTGGACGCCACTCCCTGTCATATCATGGCTAATTCCGTTTATCGGTCATGTTGGGATATGTAGAGAGGATGGAGTAATTTTGGACTTTGCAGGGCCAAATTATGTGTGTGTAGACAACTTTACCTTTGGGGCAGTGGCACGCTACATCCAGATAAGCAAAGAACAGGTATAAATTGTTTCAGAATGACTCCTTTATGAACATCTTTTCGACTATTGACACGTACCAGTTCGCTGCCATTGGCCTCATCCCTAAAGGAGAGGCGGTGCTGTCATTTCACTCAAAAGTATCAATCTGACTGTTGCTCTTCTGTGACATGGCTGCTGGGCCACTATGGTATATGATTTAAGCAGGCAGTGGTGATTCTACAACATAATTGCATAGTAGCTGCACTAAACTGACTGCTGTTTAGGAGTTTTTTATGCTTATTCCTAATCCTGTTTTTGGCTTATATTTCTGGGATACAGTGCTGCATCTCTCCTTATCCTGCTGCATACAGGAGTGAAGATGGATTTCACGATGAACCCCAAAGAGACGTGTTGACATGGGATGATGCCTTGCGAAAGGGAACACAGGAATTCCAACACCGATCTTACAACCTTTTCACTTGCAACTGCCACTCCTTTGTAGTCAATAACGTAAACAGGTTGGGCTTTCAGGCTGGTGGGTGGAACGTAGTGAACTTAGCTGTTTTGATTTTCCTCAAGGGAAAGTGGGTAAGCAAAGCATCTATGGTACGGTCTTATTTGCCATTTGTCATAGTAGGTGGTCTAGGACTCACCTTTGGAGGAGCCACTTTCCTAACTTTCTTGGCCTTCTTCACCTTCCTTGTTGTTGGCTGGTTTCTCCTTGGCACTTACTGTTTCAGGAACTTGATCCAGTTGTAGCCTTTGTATTACTTGGTTTATATTCCGTGTAAAAACTGTAGTTTAGCAAATTTACGTGGATTTCAGACACATGTTAAAGATTGAAAGTACGTCAAATGACTTGCAATGCTTTGGATTGTTAGAATTTGGGTGTTTTCTTTTTTTTTTTTTCCCATCCTGAAGGGCTATTAGCTTTATCGTTTGCTACCATTTCGTCCCTTTTGAATCTGTGGGTACGTGTACAAGTCATTTGCATAATGCCTGGGATGATTTCTTCTGGCGGCCGTACATGAAAGAACCTTTGTGGCTTTTCCTTTTGGAGGGTGTACTTAGACAGGGACGTTAGGCAATTCAAATGAATATTATTTTTTACATGTGTAAGTTTCATTAATTTTTTTAACGAGGCCCACCCATTTAATACTCATCCAAAAAATAATATGAATTTGTGTTACACTTTTAAATTTTATTTGAATTATGTAACATTTTTCATAGGTGAATAAACCAGAAATTTGTTTGGAAAATCTCATATGCTTTGTTTTAAAGAATAATTCTTAGTTCCACTCCTTTCTATCAAAAAACGTGTGCTAAAACATTGTTTCGTTGGATTGCATTGGGCTAGGAGGATTTTCTCTTTCCGCTAAGATATAAAACATTAAAAAAAAAAATTGTCTGATGTATGAATTTGTGGTTACTATAAGATTTAAGAAGGTCAAATGTATAAGTCAAACTAATAAAACATAGAACACTATTATATACGTTTGAAGAAGGATCGGATGTTTGTATAACTCAAGTCTATAAACCATGTATAGGTTATAACAAAACTCCTTAGTGAGATAGAACTTTGATTGATAAAGTTTCGTCCTTTGTCCTTTAAAGAAAAAGGACAACTAGCTTATATACCCCCATCATTCCCTGCCGTCAAATTGGATATTGAGATAGCTTATTTACTGCCCTTCAGGATTATCGAAGAAGGGTTTGGGCAGAATACTGCCTTATTTCAAATTTAGCCTCGGGGATATCTTATTCTTGGACCATATCTCTTTGTTCCGGTGGCCAAACATGTTAACATCATGCGTGACAGAACGATAATATTCCCTAGTCGTTTTTAGCCAGTGGCACACTATACTGAAGGTCATTTTCAAGCCAAAAAAGGGAAAAAAAATAAAAAATATTGGGTATCAAATAGAGCTAGCAGCTATGGACACGGGTCACCCATATAAAGTCAGGTGTGAGCACTTTGGAATATCCACACTTGTGGACTCCAGCTCCATCTTTGGTTGAAGAGAAGCTTGTGTTTGTAAGGGATGTTTCTTTTGACAAAAAGAGGAACGAAAACAAAAGACTCTTTAACACGAAAAGAATCTGATCCCTGACCCATAAAAAGTCAGGATGGGTACCTCTCGGCACCGAGGAAAGGCACATCTCGGGGACCGAGGGAGGTATGCCGACAGAGGTACATATCAGACCGAGACCACGTGTTGGTTGTAAAAAACATATTGAACGCATGATCCTATACGATGAGTACCTCGGGGGTGAGGACCTTTTGCGCCGATGGTGCTTAATCCCCCGAGGACCTTTTGCGCCGATGGTACTTAATCTTAGCAACAGTATTTTGGTAATACCGATGACACGTGTTTTCATCATAGAATATCTCAGAAAAGTCCCATCAAACATGTAAAAATAAAGAATTATATTGGACAAACATAACATCAGAAGTAGGAATAATAATTGAATATATATGACGCCAAAGATTTTATCGGATTGTAAACTGGGCCCATCTAGAAAGAAAAGATAAGTGCATTCAGATAAAAAATCATTTTATAACATTATTCTCCCTTATATGATAAATTAGTTATCATTTGGTAATTTATTTTAAATTAACTTTTAGACAAACTTGTTTAGAGTAAAGTATATGTGATCATTATATATTAAACATGGATTTTTTTTAGAATTCAAAGCATACTTATTTTATAGCAATGTAAATTATTATAGCGATGGAATAATTTAAACAGAATAAATAAAAAAATCAACAATCAAAGAAATGTTTAAAGCCCTCTCTACGTGTGTGTTAAGCTTTGCCGTGTGGATTATTGTTTGTATTTTTTCTGTGCATGTTCGGTCCAAAAAAAAAAAGAAGTGTTTAAAGTGCTAGAAAATATTTAAAAATTGCTACCAAATGTTGACTTTCCCATATAAAAAATCTGTTTCAACTGGTTTGGAAAATTCATAGAATTCTAACACTTTCGTTTCATTTGTTGTTTTGGGGTAGGAGGAGGATTTTAGCAATTGAAAAAAAAAAAAAAGCAAGTCTTGGAGACTAAGCAACTATTTAAGTTAGGGAGAATTACATACAGACTCTCTAAAGTTTGTCATTTAATCATTTAAATTCTCTTATATTTAAAATATTACACACAGACTTCTTAAAGTTTGTACACCCGTAACACTTAGACCTTTGCTATAAATATATCTATTAAGAAATTACATCCAGACTCTCTAAAGTTTGTAAACATATATTACTTAGATCCATTAAATTTAAAATGTTATACTTAGACCAAAAATAATTCAATCAAAAATAAAATATCAAATATTTTAAAATTTACAATTAAAAATTATGTTCTATTGTATTATTTATTGAAATAAAATAAAAAATAAAAAATTAATTTTTTCTTAAAAAATCGTACTAAGTGTACAATTATATTGTCTATTGGAATTTAATTTGGTCGGTTAAACAATCAAATTAAAATATCAAATTATCCCAATTAAAATTAAAATATATTGTGTCAATTATAATTTGACCCCTTGTTTAATTTTTTAATTTTATTATATTAGATAGTATAATTATATACTAACTATGTTTTTTTTTAAAAAAAACACTAGTTTTTTATTTTTGATTTTATTTTAATAAATGACATAATAGGACACGAATTTTGGATGTAAAATTCATGTTTTATTATGAATGACTTAGACCATTTGTCTGATTTTTTTAGTTTTATTCCAATAGATAGATAATTATATACTAAATACGTTTTTAAAAAAAAATATTTATTTTTAATTTTATTTCAATAAATGATACAATAGAACATGAATTTTGATTGTAAAATTTAAAATATTTGATATTTTATTTTTCATTGAATTTTTTTTTCTAAGTATAATATTTTAAACTTAAGGGATTTAAGTATTATATACTTTGAAACTTCAAGTGGTCTAAGTGTAATTTATTAACAGATATATTCATAGTAGGGGTTTAAGTGTTTTGCGCATATAAATTTTAGGAGTCTGTATATAATATTTTAAATATGAAGAGATCTAAATGATTAAGTGACAAATCTCAATAGACTGAGTGTAATTCTTCCTTTAAGCTATCATAGAAGTAATAATTCTCCTGTACTATTTTTGGTAAAAAAAAACAGCGAGTGAATTCCCTTCCTTCAAAGAATATAATCCACATAAGCAAGCACTAAAAAAAAAGAATATAAGCCACTTACGGAAAATAAAAATAATAGAATAATAAACGTCCATCATATTGTACCGCTTTGACTCATTTTTTTTTTTATTTTAAAATTGACTCATATTTTAAGGTTATTATATTAATTATTAATTATCGATTAGAAAGGTAACACGACTATTTCCTTTATAATATCACAAGACACTATTAGTCATTACACACAAAATTATAGATGAAAGAAACATAACAAATATTCAGCTCACGGCATCATAAAAAGATATTAAAAAATATGTTGTGAATTAATGATAAAACATCTATTGATCTGGTCAAATTCACATGATGTTCTTCGTCTGAGTGAAACTAAAAATTTATACCAAGAAAAATATTATTTATAATTAAAAAGTTAATATAATTTGTTAACTTAATAAATTATAATTATTAAATAAATAATGAATCTTAATAAATATTAAGATTCACATTTAAATCAATTAACCATTAATTATAGATTATATGCCACTTTTTCGTTTGGCCAACTATGGATTATTTAGGGAGGATATAAATAATCACTACAATTTAATTTTAAGATAAATAAATAAATATACTTATTATCTATAACATCGACAGCTGGCATTGCTTATACCATTCATCAAAAAAGAATCTCAGTTACCGCCATTTAAGTCGTGGCAGGTCCGTAATTACATTGCAAAATCGAGATCTTTTTCCAAAGGATCCCAACCATCATGCCTATATAAATGGTCCAAAGAGAGAGAGAATTAAAAACCAGCACTCCCCACAGACAAAGCAAAGCAGAGAGCACAGACGTTTCTGGCGTGATAATCATTTTCTTTTTTGTGAAAGTTCGCGTGTGAGAGAGAGAGAATGGCAGAAGAGGGACAAGTGATTGGTTGCCACACTGAGGAGGCCTGGAGTGAACAACTCCAGAAGGGCAACGATTGCAACAAACTGGTAAATTTACCGGTTTTTTTTATTGTTTGGATCTATGGTTTGATGCGTGTTTACGAATGTGGATTTGGATTTTGGAGTCAGTTCCTTGTTTTGATTAATGTGTTTTGTTGCTTTTACGTATCTGAAAATTGAATTTGGTTTTGCATGAGATAAATTTGATCTGGTTTTCCCGATCGATCAGCTAAAATTATATATTCCGTCTGATGCGTTTCATTCGAGATCATATGATGGTCTGATCTGCATGGTGGTGATTACAAGAGAATATTTTTGTATGTGATTATCTAAAAATGTAAGATCATAATATTTTGCTTTGAATTTTACTACTCGATGATGATTAATGACATTTTAGAACTGGAGCCTAACATCAATCCCATAGCAATGATTTATTATGTTTATCCGGATTAGTTTATGCGCACTTGATTAATTTTTTCTCTCATCCAGTCAAAGATAAACTATCCATATGGAGACTAGGGTATTCATGGGTATAAATCCCAGGATTATTAAGATTCGAACTCATGATATCTGAGTTTACAATTCGTCTTTGTTATCACTTGAATTACCCTTGAAATTATGATTCATTATATTAACAAACTAGATTAATAAATTAATTCTAAGGAGCATTACTCACGCCATTGTATAACCCAATTGGGTTTATTTTATTTATTTACTTTAGATCATCTCCAATCTTGACTTAAATGTAGACTTAAATTTAAATTTGAGTCCAAATCGCTTAAAAAATTTCTCAAATTTTGGACTCAAAACTCATACCAAATCGAGGCAAAACTTATTTTGGACCCAAATTGAAGCAGACTCAAATTCTATATCAAATTTCTAACGATAACTTTTTAACTTATTTAAAACCAAAAGACTTATTTGACTACTTGTTCTCTGTCTTTTCTTGCCTTTCTCTACGACACTGCTTCCATCACCGATTATCAGCGAAGTTTTCACAAATTATTTGAAAACTGCTTCCATCATCGACTACCACCAAAGCTTTCACAAATCATTTGAAGGCCTGTAGGTAAGTTTTTTGTTTTTCATCTTCCATTTTCTTAATTCTTGTATTTTTCAAAACTCTAATCTCACTCATCTTTCATACTGTATAAACCTTAAGTTTTACCCATCAAATTTTTCGAGTTAAACACTATCGATAGTACAATTTCAAATTATCGATTCTTCCTGAAATTTTAAACCTTTGGTACCCTCAAATTTAGAAAATTCGTCATTTTATTTCTTCAATCTTCCATTTTTGTTAAAAAAAAAAGTATATTTTTATGTTTTTCAGACCATGCCCATGTTAACTATTTTTTTTTCTTTATTTGGATTTATAAAAAATGATAAGGAATTAGAATAATTTTAGAATTCTTGGGTGATTTCTTTATTTTCATATAGTGTTATATACATATTCATTTTTATTTTAATTATCCATTTGTGAAGAGATGAAAGTTTCATTTATTTTATCAAATATTATGATTTGAATGACACAATAAAATAAGTTTTGGGATAATAATTTTTTTTTTAAAAGATTTGAATAGATATTTGAGTTTGCACATTAGAGTATTCTATACCAAATCAAGTTTTTTACTCAAATTTGAGTCTAAATTTGAGTCATGATCGATGATGCTCTTAGGTGTGCTGTCACATTTTTTTTTTTTTTGGGGCGTTCTTAACCAAGTGTTTCTTTCATCGTATTTGTATATTTTTTTCCCACTGTTTTTAGAGCTGTTCAACTTGACAATAAATTAGTCTGATGTGTTTTGCAGAATGTCTTTTTTTGTTGTTTCTGTGTCAACGCGTGATACAATGGAGGAACACTTTGTATTAGAATCTTCTATTTATATCTTATTCTTGTGTTTTTGTCCAAGTTGATAATAAATTAATCCGATGTGTTTTGTAGATTGCCTTTTTCACTTTAAAAAAAAAAAGAAACTTAGTGTGACTGTCTCACGCACTATGCCTGGAGGATCCTTACTGAACAATGTAATTGTCGCTGAAAACGTTGTTTTAACTGAGGGATGGCCGTCCTTTCAACTTTCACCAAGTGCTTTAGATAATTCATATTTTGTCATAAAGTTTTCTTTTCTTTTTTTTTTTTTTCCTTTTTGGGTAAAAACATTACCATTAAGGAGTCTGTAACTTTTACAATCCATCTTGTGTCTTGGGTAATTTTGTGTGTTTGGTTGGAGATAAGTGAAAATTAGTGTACCCCCTTAGTTTAGAACTGTTGTAGCTGCCTATATGTTGATTGTGTGCGACATAATTGGTATTTTCACTGTCAATCTAATTCTGCAGTACGTTTTACATTGTGATTTTAACTAATTATGGCTGTCAACTGAGTGAGAAATTCGTTAAACGAAAGGAAAATGGTACTCTGGACTTAGAAATAATGCTAGATGGCAGCCAAAATATTAGCTTGACAGAAGGGTTATATTTCTGGAAGGGTTTGATTTGATCTTTGTAGTTCCAAAATAATATCTGCATGTTTTTGATTGCATGAATCTCATAGCAAGATCATTGTTTGCCTTTTGTAACGCTTGTCAAGCATTTGTCACCTTGCCCAATGGTGTTAACATAAAAATTACAGGACTACATTGGTAGTTTTATGAATGGTTATATATCGGATTAGTTACACAGGAAACCAGTGAGATTTCTATAATCTAATTTGTTGTTATCGAATTAACCCTTAACTTACACAAATTAACATTCTTCTTTCCTTTGTCTGCACAGAATTACTTTATTTTTTGCTGAGAAATGAATTTGAAAAAATGAAGAAAATCTATTTTTTGCTGAAACAATATAGCCATTTATGGGACGTGGTGCAACTGTATTTAGAGAATATATGGTAAATGGTGCAACTTTTTTTTTTTCTTGGCGTAGTATATGAGATTGATTTTGAGACCTGCAATGACAATGCTGAATATATGCCTTTATTGTGCAAGCTCATATGTAGAGATTTACCATATAAACGGTAAATTTACTGTCTTGTAATTATTCTTCCTGGCATTCATTCGTTGCATATGCAGATTGTTGTTGATTTCACCGCTTCATGGTGTGGACCGTGCCGTTTCATTGCTCCTTTCCTGGCAGAGTTGGCTAAGAAACTGCCTAATGTTACCTTCCTCAAGGTGGATGTGGATGAGTTGAAGGTAAAAAAAAAAAAAAAACACTGGCAATTTGAGTTTTATTTCATGATACGATGTTTACATTTTTTGAATAGCGTAGAGAATCTGTTACTACACATATTACAATTGTTCATGGTTGCTTCTTGTTCCAGTCGGTTGCTACAGACTGGGCTGTGGAGGCAATGCCAACTTTCATGTTTCTGAAAGAAGGGAAAATTGTGGACAAGGTTGTGGGAGCGAAGAAAGAGGAGCTGCAGCAGAAAATTGCCAAGCACGTTAGCACTGCTAGTGCCTAATATGCTATTACATATGAAAAGGCCATGGACCTTAATTTATGCTGTTAATTTGGATTTTAAAATCTGGATGAATATTAGTTTGTGTTTCTGTTTTATGTTCCTACATATACTAGGTGTGGATATTCTAATTCCCCTATTTATGGAGAATATGCTCAAGAACTTATGAAACTAATTCTCCTACAGTTTTCTCTGTTTCTTCTCATCAGTATCTAAAGGTTCTATTATTTCAGAATGTGTAGAGTGTCTGTTTTATAGTACAAATAATGCTGTGTTACATTCCGATTGACCACATATTGATTGATTCTGGAAGAGTCATTGAACAGTAATAGACATTAATCATGCAGTTGCTAAAGTATCGATTACCGGGTCTCATTCTTAGTCACACAAGTTCCAGTTGGATACCTCACTTTGATTGACCCACATTTGGATATCACTGGATTGCCACTTTAGCCATTACAAGGTTCATGTGTTCCCTTGAATCCATCATTCTTCAGTGGGCCTCACTGAATATCATATTGCAAGATGAATAATAAATCACCAGATTTGCTGCATACTCCTGCTTCTCAAACAAATTTGGAAAATACTATGTATACCAAATTTTTTTACCTAATCTTCTGTCCTAAATGATGTGACACAATCTCTATCATTGAATATTAATGAAACTCATTTATCTTATGGTGAAAATCTGTGCCACAAATGATGAAGATTTGGTAAGACAATTTGGTAAACATAACATTACCCAACAAATTTTCCCACAAACTGCTTAGAGAAGATTTACTTGCAAATCTGGTATGGTAAGAAAATTTGATAAGTATAGCATTAACCAACAAATTTTCCCATTAACTGCTTAGCGAGGATTCACTTGCAAATCTGCCGTCTAATCAAAGTATGATATGTTTTTATCTCCATTCCCGAAAAGGTTACATGTACAAGTAGTAAATTAGATTGGAAGTGCAACTTTGATAAGAATTTAGCCACTGCCTGTACAAAGTTTGGTTTCATTCAGAAAGTCGGTCAAAATGTATCCGGCAGCATCGCCTCCTTAATTTCCATATTTCAACTTACTTCACCAGCAGTAGTTTTAACAAAAACAATACCAAGAAACTAAAATTGAAATGATAGAAGCTTTAGTTATCAACAAGAACTGCACAACAGAAAAAGGGGGTCATCTTAGGATCCACACCTAACATGAACCTAATTGGGGTTTGATTTTCCCCAATGATACAAACAAACTAATAAATCACACCAATGCTCCTGACAACTAAGAATGACACATTTCTCGGTTCCCATTTCCGGTTAAAAGTTGGGGAACCATAGCTGACATCCACCTTGGGGCTCACAATTTAGAACCCCAGAATCTACAAACTTAACTTACCTAAAAGTCACTACTCTGCAAAGGCCTCTTGCGCACCCTTAAATTAAAAACTATCTGGCTTCACCAATCTTACTAATAAACCTTTCCTGTACTTGATCCTTTATTCTTCCTTCGTTACTTTCCTCCTTGCTAGTATGGGTAGTTAAAACTCAAAAGATGCAATACTTGAGCCACTTTTTACCTTGCCAACCCCTAGGGTTGAGTGGTTGTGGAAGACATAGGGGAGCAAATTGCTTCAACAGATAACCGCTTTAATACATTAGGACATGGATCTTGCCCAAAATTACTGTTCGATATGGTCACTGCACATCTCTGCCGTCCTATGCATTTCTGTGAAATCAGAAGGAAAGAAAAATGTAGATCTTGTCATGGAAAAACATTGAAGGCCAGCAATTTTGTTTTGCAATATGAAAAATCACAATGAGTACCTTCTCTAAGATGGAATATGAGGTAGGAGAGTGACAAGTTCCTTCCTGGAAACTCCCACAAGTTCCCAAAGGTGTTCCAAAGCTTGCAAACTTGATGGAAGAAATGGACTGGCCAGGACCACAGCGAAGGTGAGCTTTGGGATTGTGAAACTCTTCTGTTTTACCATAACTTTCAATGTGCCAATTTTTAATGGTTGGGTGATACTCGGTGACGTCGGCACAAACACTGGTTACTGATCTTTTCACAAGAGCAATTCTTGTAGGATCTCCCCCAAGTTCTTCAAAAAGTACTAATAGGTTTTGCGCCGGTTTTAACCAAGACCTAGGCACATGGTACCTGAAAAAATATTTTGTTAGTGACTAGTATGGAATGGGTTACTTTCTTAAGCTTTCCAATGTACTATGCCAACTAGGTATGACTAATCTTTTCAATTATTTTAAAGTAGTGTAATGCGGATTTACCATTTCTGGGTTGGTTGACCGCAGCCAAGTAGACACTTAGGAGGCCTAAATGTCCCAGAGTAACTGCATCCGTTGCAATTACCAGTAGCATATGCAGTCCAATATCTTCCAATACTCTGACCATTAACCCATACTTGTCCTTTTCCCATACTGCTCATGTCCAAAGCTAGTGGTTCGTCTCCTTCTGGTGCATTGAAATAAGCCTGCATGATTCCAAGAACAAGTTAAAATTTGTTACGCCAACGGCTCCTTTTCAACTTGTAGATGCCATTTTCAGTCATCTATGTTGATACCTTATGCCATGTTAGTGGCTGCTGTTTTTGTGCAATTAATGAACCTTGCATCCAGTCAACAGAAGAAATAGTATTTGGAGACACAAGATCCATGACCTCTCCTCTCAGCCCAACCTGTACAAAGAGGCACCCATGAGGCAAAAGTTCTTTGAATTTACGGTCAATACATAAGAAATAGAAAGGTGAGATTCACAACCTGGTAGTTCCATTTTGCCCAGGACAAATCCCATTTTCCCTGGTCAAGTCCATGCAGTGCAACTGGACCTAAGACTCCTGTATTCCATGTTTCAAAATGTCCTCCCACATTCTGCAACAACAAAAAGAAATACTAGGACTAAAAACAAGTAGTATGATTCTAAATAGTATTGCTTCTTGAACCATTCAAAATGCCAGATGTTTGGATTGTGTAAACAAAATGTTTGTTCAATACAGCCCAAGAAACAGGAGGTGGCAACTGAAGAGCAGCAAGTCCAAAATCGTTTCAGTTTATGCTCTCACCTAGAGTCCATTGGTTGGTATGATTCAATGGCCGTAAAGGGTTCTAGAACTAAGTGTATATGATGGGTTAAACCAATCATGGTTCCTTGCGCTATCTCGAATGTCTTTTAACTGAGAATCAAACAATTGACAAAAATGATTTAGCCCAGAACTTTTGGAAGCGAGGGCTTATTATGGACTCATAAATTACCATTATTTATGACACTGCAAATAGCCTGTTAAGCTGTCCTTTAGGAGCATTGCGAAAATGATAGATGTTGGAAATCAGAACTAACCGGCAATCCAACAGCCACACTGAGCAATGCAATTCTGTTTGTTCCAGCTCGCAGATTGACTTTCCCTGTAAATGTGAATCTCCTATTCTGCCTTGTCCCAAAGGCAGAACCTACAAAAGTTCAATTTAATGTTTCATTGCTAATCAGCAACAAAGGGCAATCCCCCACTGTTCATGGATCCTTCAAATGAGAAAGTTGACAAGGTACCTGAAAGCTGTCCATTGATGAACACATGCAAAGCATGGCCTGTGGACTGCACTATCAGAGTAGGGAGTTCTCCACCATGCAAGAAGGATTCAGATGAACCTATATCAACACTGCAAACACATTGGAAAGGACTTGTAATTACAACATGGAACTCTCACATTCATTAATTAGTTATGAGGGAAATGTCGACCTTGTTTGGTCAGAAATCTTTCTCAAGTAAGGCTGTTTGATTGAAATCAGAAAAAAAGGCTGTTTTACTGCACTATCAGAGTAGGGAGTTCGGTCACAAGTCATGCATGTGTTTAGGCAGTTTCTGCGCTATTTATCATAGGTGCGGGCTAAGCATTGTAAGCCAATGAGAAAAAAAGATATTAGCAGAGTAACCTAAGCCATGCTGCATTATTTAGATTTTTTTTTCTTTTTTAGGTCTGTATCTATGTTTCTCTTCTAAATTTCTAATCATGGTTTTTGCAGTGAAAGAAGATTGTTTAGGGAGACAGGATGGCAACGAGAAAATGTGAGGTAAATGTGACAGAGGACCATATCAGTGGGGGCCCTTTTATGGGGCAGAAATTGAAGCATCTAGCACAGATATAACAATTAGATAATAAAAAATGCCATCCACATCCCACAAGACGAAATTGTCGTGAAAGTCAGAAGACATCAAAGAATAACTACCAAAGCTAATGCTAATAATTCAGGGTGTCAGTCTCACCTAGTTTTGTACCACAGATAATCACTAGTGTCCCTAGTGACATTTATCTGTTCCAACAGACCAAGAGCAGTAAATGTTGAACTGTCATCTAGAGAAGATAAATCTTCATTATAAGTCTCCCAAGAGAACATCTCAGCATTGCTTGGAAGCATTTCCATATGTGATGTTTGAACTCCAACCTGTGATGAACACAAGAATTAAATATCATATCTGAGAGAAAGCTTAGAATAACACAGCAATGAAAAAAATACTTTTAATTGTACAAAATTGAGCTCTTGATAAGGATTTTTGCATCACATAATAGTATAATCCACCATTTTACTAAGATTCACATACTTTGGCAGTATTGAAGACTACATTCCTGCAATCGGGAAGGATGCTAATGGACCAAGGAGGCAAGTTATAGTGCATGTTATTGAACATCACTCTTACAGCAGACTTAGTATCATAGTTTGAAAGAAAAGCTGCACAATCTCCTGTTTCTGAAGAAAATAGATAAGCCTGGAAAAAACCCAATATTTAGTTAAACGTTTCTGAAATGGCAGCAGCAGAGGATGGAAAGATCAAAGACACGAACCTGTTGAAGGCCTCCTAAAGAAGTCACACCAGGATCTGCCGAAACTAAAGCACGCTCACAGAGCTTAATAGCCCTATGAAGCTCCTTCAAGTGACCATATTTTGGTTGCCTGATCAAACCTATTACATTGAAGCAGTGGAGTATTTAGTCATACCCATACAGTTTACCTATGGATGATTTATAATCATGAGCAGCATAAATATTCAGAACTAAATTAGTTTGTTTTCAGTAAAAGCCACATAAGTGGTAACATTTACCAATAGGCCTACAGAGGTGCCTCCATATGCACATAGATTTACTCTCTCCACTTACAAAATGACTCGACTATCTAACCATGTTGAGTTATTTGTAGTACACATGCCATAAGTTTCAAGACATAAAGAGTACTATCCAATATGCATCCACAAAACACTGCCCACCCATAACACGACTTTTTTTCTTTTTTTGTACTCACATATCACGGCTTCAACACCAGGACAACGAGAATATTTCAAGCCATCTAGACTAAGAAAATTTTGTTCTTAGGGGAGAAGAAAGCATAAAACATTTTGTTCTCACCATATTCATCAAGCGGAGCATCGTAGTCATAGCTAGTAGTGATGAAAGGGCCACCAGCAGAACGTCCAAAATTGGTGCCTCCATGGTACTGTTTTTTGCATTGTGCACATGGTAATTCAGTTTTACTGAAGGAGTTTTTCAATTTAGAAGAATTTGCTACTACCCAGGAAATTATTGCGTAAGAAACTAACCATGTAGTAATTAACAAAAGATCCTCCCTTTTGTATGAATCGAGCAACCGCAAATGCCAAATCCTGAACTGGCCTCTGATGAAGCGGGCCACCAAATTCCGTAAACCTTCATAATGTGTTGTAAATGCAAACATAAATTATTAATTTCAGTTTTAACGAATAAAATGAGTGCAGAAACCAAAAATCACACAGGCACATACCACCCACTCCAAGCCTCTGTCCAAATTGTGGGTTTGTAGGGCCTATTGGGTGAGAAAGCATCACAGTAGAAACCGTTACACGTGTTGATCTGTAAGAAGTGCCAGCAAACAGTTATAAGTAATCTTATTCATGGGACTAGAAAGTATTTTCTTATCCCAAGTCGTCCATATAGAATATTAATAGGCAGTCACTCTCTTCCAGGTTTTCTTTCACAAGTCACTACAAAGAACCAATTGGTAATTGTTTCAAGGTAATGAAAGTCCGATGTCTGAAAAAATCAACACAACTAGGGTTGCATAACTAAACACGATGAAGTTCAAGAATTCGAACAACAATTGATCACAAGGTGAACGATCTCATAAGAGATTCGATTTGTTAACAAAAAGAAACTATAGTGATGCAAGCCAATGCAAATCTGGAAGTCAAAGTATATGGGACTGCTCACCACTGGATCCGGGGCATCTTCTTCCTTACACATTACCCAGGGTACTCCTGTACCCAACCCAACCGCCAAATTTGCAGCCCAAGTCATGTACTGATGACCAGCAGCTCCAAGTGCCTTACCTTGTGGCCCATACTCGTTCTCAATCTACAAAACAAATTAGCCAGTACCATCAGTGTCAAAAAATAAATTTAGTTCTAGTAATAATGAATAGATGTCCTCAACAAGTTTCCATTTCTATCTAGAGTAACTGCTACATTAGTGAATTATTCCAATGTATAGCACAACCCCCAGATTAATATGAGTGCATATTTTAGGCTGGTAGCAGAAAAAAACATTAGGGGGTGAAAATTAAATCCCAAAACCTGGAAGCCATACCTGAGAAAGTATGATGGGGCCACCCTGGGACTCAAACAGATTTTCACTCTTCATCAAATTAACAATTTTTTCAGTGAAACTTTGCATAGCCATCTGCAAACGCCATGAGATCATATTTAACTACCCAAGTACCAAAATCACTTAATTGGTTTTTATTTTAGTAAAAATGTAAATCAGCCTGTTTATGCTGTTCCACAAAATAGTAAATACCCTTTTTTTTAGCAGCATTTAGCATACTTCTAATCTATAGACAATAGGGAATAACATAAAGTTGGGGAATTGAGACCTTGAAAGGCTCATTATCTGTTCTGAAGCTGATGCCTGGGACATACTTCAGCCAAACTGGAAATCCTCTACACAAAACACAAAAGCAAATAAATTAACTATAACCCCATATACATCAAAGCAGACAGTTAAAAACCCTCACAATATGTGAGAGAAAAGAAGATAGTTAGATCTACAGAAAAATAAGAATTGGTGGGCACCCAAAATTCCACTCTGCACAAACATAAGGCCCAATGCGAAGATGAGCATAAAGTCCAGCTCTCTGAATAGTCTTTATGAACCTGACCAGATCGTATCTCCCTTCAAAATTATACTGAAATCCATACACAGCATAGAAACATAAGCAAACTTTGAGAACTCCCAAACCAGAGCAAATACAGAGGACAAAATAGGGCAAAACAGAGTACAATTGCGCAAGAAAAATTAAGGCAAAAAGTACATTTCCAGGAGAAGGCTCATGAACATTCCAAAAAACATAGGTCTCAATCACATCCAAGCCTCCTTGTTTAGCCTTGTTTATCAGATCTTCCCACATCTGAACACAAGCAAAATTGACCCAGATGACATCAGAAACAAACGAAGAGAAAAAAAAACGCAATTTCTCAAGAAAATTAAAGAGAGAAAAACATCCAGTGGGAATGATTCTCGAGTACCTCGGGAGTGCTTCTGGGGTAATGTATGGAACCAGAAATAAGTATTCTTCTTTGCCCATTAATGACAATGGCCTTCCTATCATAGTTGACACTACCCTGGATCAGCTCAGCACCCAGATACAACACCATGCAGAGCAACAAAACCCACTTGAAAAATGAGTTCTTTTTCATGATTCCCCCTTCTCAATGCCTCTCTTTTACCTTGGTTCCCTCTGTATATGGATGGAACTCGGAAAGCAGAGAGAGAGAGAGAGAGAGAGAGAGAGAGGTCTGAAACTGGGAGCAGCAATTTGCTAGCGATATATATACAGAGACGGGGGTATGTACAGCTATCACTCACAGATGTCGAGAGAGTCATCACTGCGTGACTGTGAGCTCAACACCTAAAAAGAGAGTGAAAAAAAAAAAAAAATTTACAAGAGAAACTGACAAACAGGGAAACAAGAAGAGAACAAAACAGCTTTGATAAGTCTAAGAAACTTTGCACTGTTTTTAAGTGAGATTAATAGACTAATGTTTGGAGAGCGTTGTTGGTGCGTTTCGGAAAGAAAACGTTTTTTTACGGGGTCATTATTAATACATGGGTAAATAAGGTTGATCAGGTTTCTTTTATCTTTGTTTCTTCATTAGCGATAAATAGTATTAAAAGTTAGGGCTAATAAAAAATATTTCGATTCTCAAATTACATTCTAAAATATTAAAAATTTTAATTTACATTCTCAATGTTATAAATTGGTTGCAATGTGAATCTTGTCTAAACTACTGTTCAATTTTTTGTCATAAATTGAAACACGTGAGGTACAAGTGTTTCAATCATTAGTTTATGCATAAATTCAAAGATTGTTAATGTATCTATTTGATTAACGAAATCTTATTTTCGATACATAGAACGATGTCAAATTGATTGCAAAGGAAAATATGTAGCGATGGACATACCTCATCCTCATGCTTGAAACTCTTGCAATTTATGAACTTCAATTTATGACAGAAAATTGAACAACAGTTTAAGCGATGTCCACATTACTATCAATTCATAATATTGAGATTATAAATTAAAATTTTTAATGTTTGAAAATACAAATTCAGAATCGAAATATCGCCCAGGATGCATAGTGACATTAGCCTCAAAAGCTATAATTTTTAAAAGTGAAGTTATATTTTTAAAAAATAAAATTTTAATTATTTAAAATATTATAATTGATCTTAAATTATATAACTTAAACTTCTGATATATTTGACATTTTGTGTTGATCATGAATTATTTGAATCTATTGTAACTTTTTGTTTATGGTTGATAACTTGATTTTTAAAAATAATACTTCAACCTTTAAAAATTATAATTTTTACAGTCAAGCATGCCTTTAAATTTAGGATTTAATTTTTTCGAGCAATTGTTTTTTTCTTTTCAAGCGAGAGAGGAGAGGGCGAGTTTTGAACTCGATAGACCTATAACTTACCTAATATGACTAAGTTTGCAATACTCAAAATGATAATTCAACGAGAATTCTATAAATGTGAGATTTAAAAGTATATGAACTATCAAAATTCGTTCTTAACATTACCACTTACAAATGACACATTAAAAAGAAGAAAGGTAAATTTTGATATAATGAAAATTGAAGCAAAATTTGAAAGAATAAAAAATTTTAAGCATAGAGTTAGGATTGATAATCGAACTAAGCTACTTGGACTCAGCTCGCACTCAGTTCGTTTTTTAAACGAACCGAGTTTGAAAAGAAATTTTAAGTTCGTTTATATGTAAAATAACTGAGCTACTTTGGTCCGATTCAGTTTAAACTTGGTTTGCCTGAAAACCAAAATAAGTCGAGTTTGAATAAATTTTTTAAATTCAATTAAAAAAACGAACTCAACTCAAACTCGCAAAACTCGATTCAATTATCAACACTGCATGAAATCTGTAACTATAGCTTCCATCAATTCATCTACATGTGTAGACAAGCAAAAACAGAAGTAGGTTTTAACATTTATCGTCACATCTTTTTCTTTAAATTGTTTTTTTCTTTTGGATATGTCTATCGTTTCGAACTTTATAGCATTTTGGTGGCATCCGATTCATGACAAGTTCGACTTATCCCTTGGCCACAAAACCTTGGATTATCTGATTGTGTGAATTTGAGCTTGTATGTAATATCTAAGGCCCCACCCACCTGTTTGCCAGTTTTTCACTTTTGCTTGTTGTAGGAATCCGACTAGCAAATGATATGTATTGCTGTTATATACTAATAATAATATCTTCATATTGAGGACATAATTTGGATAGTTAATGTACCCCAACTCGACCCTAATTCCAAAAATACTCGAGTAAAGTTTTTTAGCACAGAGGTTGGACTTGAACAAAAGGAAAAAATCCAACCCGACTTAAATTCAGACAAAATTCTTGTTGGAGTTTCAAATTTTAGGGACCAATTTGAATTTAACATGATTTAATAAATTCGAGTTTAACTTGAACTATGTAACCCTAGAACAAAACTTAGAATTGAACTCGAATTTTATCATGGGTTCAAAAGACGAAATGACAAAATGAACTGGTTCCCTTGCTAGCTTATTAGCCAAGAAGATTAGACTTTAGACTACTTATGTATGGACAACATTCAAGTGGAAGAGTTTCAGACAAAGCCAAGTTCTAGCTAATTTTACTTACTAGAAAGGATACTATTATCCAGAATTTTAAACTTGGATTAGCTGATGGAAGGTAGGTGGCAATCAATTATATGAATACGGTGCTTTATCTGTAGACACTTGTCTAGCTCTCGCAAGAATTGTGTGAGAATCGTCTTCAAAATAACTTCTAGAAAAAATTGTACCAACGAATTCTATCATACTCCATGCAGTTAGAAAAAAATATATTATTTGTTTGAGTGCCACCTCCGATCATTTTAAGACTATCTAATTTAATACACATTAGAATTCGTAATTATAAAAAATATTACCGTACTAAAGATTTTGTCGAATGATGGTGTGACACATGTATAACCTTTTAATTTAATTATTTTAAAAAATTAGTGACTATAAACAATTCAAATCAAGATTCATGAGTCGAAATAATTTATGGTATGGTAGTGCTACCCTATAATGGACTTGTGGCCTCACCGACAAGCTTCCACTACATTTGATTACTAGGTGTGTGGTTGTTGCTTTGTGATAGTATTTAAACATCTGGAAAAAAAAAAAAACAAAAAAAACGCAAGAAGCCCCATCCTATTCTTTTGTGTTGGTGAAGAGCCCTTTTCAAAGCATGGGTCCACACTTCCATTTCCATGTGAACTTGCCTGCTCTTTCATACCCTCTCTCTCTCTCTCTCTCGGATTGGGAACTTGTCAAAGAGAATAACCAGGAAGAATACGATATCTTTTTCATGGGGAGGAGGAGGCATATAAGAAAGAGATGAATATATGTTTTTAATCCTAATCTAAGTAAGCTAACAAAGATTATAAGTTTCTGAAAATATTTATAGTAATTTGGATTTCATTTCTCCTTAGTTTTGAGTCAGTCATACTTTACCCTCGATTTTTTAAAAATCTCATATTGGCCCTAAAATCTCAATAGGGCCAATATTCTTGAGTTAGAGCCAAACCTCGTGGATTATATGTTGATTCTAAAAAATATAAGTAGATCATATGTTATTGGCCAGTAATTTATGTTTAAGCCCACAATTTATGCAAGGAAAAGAAGGAGGCAGTCACGATGGGTTGACGTACTGTTTAACCACAACCTCAAAAGTTATTTCAAACGGTAATAAGAATAAGTTTTAAATTTTAATATCCTGAATTTGAATTTTAACAATTTCAAGTGTCTGGTTATAAGAGATTTATCTTTTATAAATGTTTTAAGTTCAGTGTAAGTAATCTACCTTTGACTGAATTAAAGAAAGAATTAGTTAATGTGTATGTAAATTAATTCAAACACCCCTTAATTATTGAACAAAAAGAAATAGTCTTTATCAAAGGACTGCGATATTATTAAAGATTTATGAGATTGGAATTTGACTAAGGTACTTAAAAGTAGAACCGCACCATTTATTACTTTTTTGGGATCTATACTATTTTTTGAGTAGAGTTTACCAACTTTTAAGGATCACTTACCACTTTTTGGATAAGACTAATTATTTTTGGGATGAAAATTAAGGTACTTTACGTATTTTTTTTCTATCTATATAATAAAGTACAATACAATTCAAATTTCAAAAGATAAATAAAATTATTTTTGCTATTTACTGTTAACTTTTTTTTTAATTTTGTTTTAAAGTTAATCTGATGACTAATATTAGCACTCTAAATTTAATATGAAAAATAAGGTCTTACGGGTATGTTTGGGATGATTTTTTCAAAGTATTTTTAATACTTATAACTTCTCATAAATATTTAAAAAAAAAATTGTGTTTGGAAAACCATCCCACCAATACCTTTACCACCACCACTGCCGCCGCCCCATCACCACCACTTTCAACACCCTATTACACCCACTGCCACTGTTATTGCCACCTTACCATCATCTCTTCTACAACAACTACCACCATCGCCCCACCACCTCCACTATCGTAACCCTACTACCACCACCACCGTTGTCGCCACCTTACTACCACCGTCAGTATTCCACCATCACCTCTACCACAACACCCCCACTACCCCCTAACCACCATCACCATTGTCACTTATAGTTACCACCATTACAATTGATTGTCATCATCTATCACAATTATCACTGTCTCCTACCACCACTACCACTGTCGTCTACCATCACTATCTCCGTTTACTCCCACTATAATCAATGTTTAAATTTTTTTTTTTTTTATCTTTGTAATTTAGTTTTAGGTTATAATACAAATATGTTTATGGTTAAATATTTTTTTTATTATGATGCGCTTTCAGACACGAAAAATAACTAGTGTTTTAATATGATACTAATAAATAAATAATAATAATAATACCGTAGTGTTAATTCTTTTTTTTCTCGGATAAGTACGGTTCCGTAGTGTTACCGGTAAGATTGTCATGTGACTTTGATTAAATAAAGTCAATCAGCCTAAGGTCAACCAAGGCTAGGAATGTGCAGAAGCCATGATTTCTTCGCAAACGGTAATTAAATAAGCTTAGGATACTTTTAATTAGTGCTATTATTATTATAATGGTATTGGTTCTTTATCACTTTCTCTTTTAAGCTTTCTCGGGTTCCAACGGCGCGAATGACGCAAGATTTACAGCAGTTAATTTACAGAAATGGATGGGGGAACCTAAGACAATGGGTCCGTTCCCCCCC